GTCTACACGACAACACTGTAACCGGCGTTTCTGAAAATCCTCACCCTGGCAGGGGTTTTCAAAAATGTTCGGTTTCAGTGGGTTTTCGTGTGGACGAACGGCCGAACCGCGTAAAAAAAGTCACGGTTATAAAAATACTCGTGTCCGTGTGGACAGGGCATAAAATGAGGAAGCCCAGAGGGTTAACAAGGTTCAGGTGAAACTAATAAATCAATAATGAGAACATGTGGCAGGCATAAAACAACAAAAGAAAAACACTGAGGACCTCACATGGCCAAAAAAGGAACAACAGCCACATAATTCATGACAATCCTGCACCGTAAACCCTGCGTAATGTGACTGATTTATCTTACAGTCTGGCTTGTTGGGGTGGAAAAATGCATGTTGCATTTGCATTGCATGTAAATGAGAAAGTGGGCATCTGACAGCTGGACAGAGCATATGTGTAGGGAAAACTAATATAAAAGCTGTGGTTCACTTCAACCAGTTCCTTAATTCAAATAATTTGGTTTGTAAATAATAAGGAAACCTATCATGCAAATGTGTAATTCAATCTACCATAAAAACACTATTATCCTGTGTCGTTCATATTTGATCTTTCTCACTGTGTTCAGTTCAGTTCAATTGTTTTACTACAAACAAATACACCACATACAACACTATTTGAAGTCTCATCAATCACTTAGCAGAGTTTGCATTGGGAGTCAGTGTGGAAATGCAGCTCAGGTTGGTATGTGTTTGTTTCAACTCCCAAAAGCCTCTTGGCACCGTCCAGGATGGGCAGTAGCAGATCACGGTTAAGGAATGACTGTGGGAGTATAGTGAGAAGAGCCAGACCTTTTCAGGAGATGTGATTGATGTTGCCTCAGGCCATTAAGTGCAATGGGAAGAAAAGAATGGTGAATTTATATTTGTGAGATTCTACAGCTCACAGAGGACACAAATGCCCCTTTTAAGAACACTGTTTAATTGCGGCTCATTTAAGCTTAAATATAAGGGAAAGAGATGGCTAAAAACAGAAAATATAATAAATTTCAGAGAGAAACAATTTCACTAAGTGTTGTGATTATTCCATGCATAATGTATCAATAAAATGGGCTTTAAAATATAGGCCTATTAGATGTTTTTTTTCTCCCCTATATATTGTTGTATTAGTCAATCTCTCATGGCTGAGAGAGAAGTTACACAACTACGAACTATTGTTTAAATATAAGGAGTGACAGGATTTGGAAGAGGGAGTGAATATGTACTTTCCAAAGATCAGCACTGAAAAAAGTGCAAGTAGAAAAAAGTGGCGTAGAAATAAATTAAACAAAGTAAATTGCTAGTAAATTAATTGCACAAACAACTATTGAACAAATAGCATTTTCTTTAAAATGCAATCCAATAATTGTTTTCTTTACAACTTTTTTTTGCATTGAGTGTTTTTACATTGCTAATTTTGAAAAAGAAAAAAAGAAAAGAATGCCACTGTAAAAAATGACATGATCAATAAGTCATTATATGTTTTTACATTACTTCAACTCATCAAAATAAGTTAAGCCATTTTAAACTTTATACGAGTTATATGAGATTCAACTCATTTTTTTTAAGTCAGTGTAATGTAATTTAATTTGAAATGACTTACACAGACAAGTTGATTTTACATAAAAATTTAAGGCAGATTTTTTTTTTTTTTTTTTTTTTAACAGTGTGCTGATTTTATGAAGAAAGTTTTTGAATCCTCCCAAGAGGAGAGGTGCATGTTTTGGGAAGCTGAATGTCATTACAGTAATTCCGCTACCTTGAATGTCTGGAAAATGTACAAGTACATTTCTGGGAGGACCTTTTGTTGTTTTACTATAAACAAAAAAGGGATTTGTGTGTTCCAAACTTTAATGTTTCCTTTCTTTGTCATTGTGATGTCAGCCCAAAGCTCCACTGATGATTTGTGTTATCCTGTTACTCTGTCCTTCAAGGCTGTTTATTAGATTGAGTGTTTTTAATTTCAGCCAAAGTGTGGTCAAATCTAAAGATAATAATAATAAATGTTTATTAAAGCACCAAATCAGCATATTAGAATGATTTCTGAAGGATCATGTGACACTGAAGAAGAGTATTGATGCTGAAAATAGCTTAACCCTCACAGGAATAAATCATATATTAAAATATAAAAACTGTTATTTTAAATTGGAATAATATTACCGTTTTTACTGTATTTTTGGTCAAATAAATGCCACCTCGGCGAGCATAAGGCTTTTTGTAAGTGAAAATCGACTGAAATTCTCTACATATTCTATTGCCGTTTGGCATTTATTCTATATTTGCTGTCCATTTCACAGACAGACCATCAAAGGGAGCATTCCTACTTTGTCTCAAAACTTACATAAGGCATTTGTCCTTTGTGGGAAACTGGACCTCCCCAGATTCTGGCACATCACATGCTCTGATAAATACTTCTCGCAGGGTTTGGCTCTGAGGACATTCCATTGCCCCTGTTGGGCGGCCCACTTCCACCTGTCTCAGCAGCAGCACTGAACCCATGGGGAAAACACTCTTCTCTGTAAACAATTACCAGCTTTCTTCTGTGATTTCTGTTTGGATCATTTCTCCTGAGTCTGTGCTAATGAAGGAAACTTCCCACTCAGGAGAAAATTCTCACATACAGTCAAATTCCTGCTCTTGCTGCTCCAGCATCTCTTTTTTTAAAGGCATTTTACACAATTTTACTCATTTGACTTCGCAACGAGAAACTTTGGGGTCAAGGCTGTATTTATTTGTTCAGCAAAAAAACAGTAATATTTTGGAAATATTACTGCAATTTAAAATATCTGTTTCCTATTTTAATATAGGCATAATTTATTCCTGTGACGGCAAAGTTGAATTTTCAGCATCATTACTCCAGTCTTCAGTGTCACATGATCCTTCAGAAATCATTCCAATATGATGATTTGATTTGTTTTGGCAAATAATATTTATACCTTTTCCCACTATAAAGAAACGTTTGTGCAATGGAAAGGATTCTTCATGGATTGTGGTGTACATAATTATTTCGCTGTTTATTCCACATGAGATAATTTAAGGAATTAGTTAACAGTTGAAGGTGTGCATGATAAAACAGATGAATAAACCACGAAGTCAAAGGGATCTTGTTCAACTCCTTGCTGGCTGTATAGGAGGAGTCACCGGGCTACACCCTCAAAACACACGGATTCCTGAAGCAGTCACGCCACCACGTTAATTCTGAACAGTCTGTGAAGTTTGTTCTACTGTAAATGTGTGCAAAACAAATACGCTGCGTTTAAATTCACTTTGTTTACTCTTACAAATGTTTGAAAGAGCTCTCTGCAGGTAGCAAGACGAGCTTACATGCATGGAAATAGTTGGTCTTTCTCATTCATTTTGGTCGGGAAGAGAAAGGGAGTTTTAATGAACCTATTACATCCTTATCAGTTCCTGGAAGCTTGTTTTTCATATTGCTCATAAGGTTAAAGGAAATTTCAGCCAAAAATGAAAATTCTGTCATTATTTACTCACTGACGTTCCAAACCTGACTTACTTTGTTCTGGTGAATACAAGAGAAGATCCAAAACAACAAAATCAAAACGACACAAAATATCTTCTTTTGTATTCCACGAAAGTCAACGTATAATTTGTGAAATATTTTTACATTTAGAATTTACATGTTTGGGTTCCTCTCAAAGAAACCTCTCTGCATGAACAGTTCTTACAAGAACTATTTTTTTTTTTTTTAGTGTGGAGAACATTTTAATAATCTAAAGAACCCTTTTCCACTATAGGAACCTTTTATGCAATGGAAAGGTTTCATGGATGTTCTTCATTAAACTAGATGGGAATAAAGAAGGAGTGTAGGTGAAGTTTCACACGTGAGAAGATCCTGTGATGCACAAAGAACACAGTAGAAATAAAGACAAATGAAAATTCTGCTTAAGGGCTCTGGGTTTGAACCAGCTTTGAATCCGGTTATTCATTCGTAGAAATTATTCTCCACTCCCTGATCACTAACTCATTCCCATATTTCAAAGTATCAGCTGTCCCACTGCCAGAATTTAATGAGGATTTCTAACAGCAGTGTAGTACTGTACGTTTCTCTTGGATCCAATGTAAATTTTTTTTTTAAAAATCAACAAAAAACAAAACCTCCCAAAGCTGATTAGATGAGACCGTTTGAATTGGCTACTCCAAAAGGGCGTTCTCAGGAAGGTTAAAATCACCTAATCAGAGGACATTATTGTATTGTTTGGAATAGCCCAAACGTATTTTTTCCCCCTTTAAGAGTTAACTGTTCCATAAACAACATTGAACCTCCTGAAGAACAGGACATCTTCTGTGCATTATCTTCACAGTCATTAACCGTCTCATCGGATTAATTTGAACTCAGACCACTGTCATGTGGCCAGTTTGAACAGTTACTGTGAATTATTATTAACTTTTTGTCCGGCTCGACTGAACTGATGGATCATTGGTTTAATGATATCTGGGAGGTTGGAACAACAAAACAGAAAGTTCTGTTCCACATCCTGTGAGAGTAAATCATTCATGCAGGATGTAAGTCAAGCAAATCTCAAAGGCAAAACAATTTCCACTTATACTTCTCTTCCTGTTCTTTGCACGGGGCTTTGTTTTTAGGGATATGTTATGAAAGACTGATAATATTAATGATAACGAATAAATCAGTACATCTATAGGCTATAAACTCCCCAATGCTCCCATATAGGATGAGCATTCAAAAGTACATAAAAAAAACACAGTAAAAACAAGAAATTCAGTGAGAAATTAATAGATTGAAATAAAGCGACGGACGGGGGTGTTTTGTAGGCACAGACTCAGCAATTAAAATGTTTATTCTATTAATAAGCGTTTGGTCAAATAGAGCTCCTATCAGCTATAAATATTGCATCTGCAATATTATCACAAAGCTCCCTCTTGTGGTTTAAACACGCCCCTCATCATAAGTAGAGAAGAACTACAAATACCAGAGCGCCAGTCTGCTGTGCTGCCATAGCAACCAAACCAACGCACCTCACTCGAGTGTCCAAATTTTACATGGTGATAATTTAATAACGTTGTGTTTGTAAACTATAAGACACATTCGGTAGGAAACGAATCCTTTTAAATATAACATAGAAGCACCGAGACGAGTGAAATGTCTTTCAAAACTGGACAAGTGGAAAACATTAAGTTTCCCTGGTAAGTTGCACACTTTGCGACAGCATGCAATCATTAGCCTATATTTTTTTATTTAATTGCAAAATTAGTTATTACTACTGTGAATAAAATAAATAAATAAAAATACTAAAAATTAACTTTTTAAATGAAATACTAACTTATAACATGAAAAACTGGCAATGTATTAAGACATGTTCCAGCAGGTGTTCTTCTTTTTCCCCTTTTTAGACTATTTAAAACTTTTCTTCTGAATATTCTAGGGGTGTCACAGTATATCGTAAAACAATTTTTAACAATATCGTGGATAGTGACAGACAATCTGTATTGTGTATAGCTCACCCAAAATGAAAATTACTGTGAGAAAAAAGTGTCAGAGTGAGTGTCAGTACTACATTAAACTACTATTTATAATGTTGAATATAATGTATAATAATGAAGTGTTTATTGTTATTATTATAATGCCAAATGTTTTATGTTACCAGTAAAAAGCGGCCTACATTATTTGAAATATATGTACTAGTCAGTGACAGAGTGCAAGCATATTTGTCTAAAATAATTATATTTTCAGCTTCAGAATCATGAATATTTTTTATTCTGGTGTCACCATTGTCCTGTGCATTGGTCGAAGTCCAAGCCTATTCATTTCCACCTTAATATAACACAAAATTGAGCATTTAAATCAAAAGTGTACATTTTTTGTCAACCTTTTACTATATGGAGTATTACAATTATATCGTATCTTGAGTTAAGTATCGAATCGTGACATGAGGGTATCGTTACACCCCTAGAATATTCACTTTATAACTTAAAGTAAAGCTCTATGTAAGCTCATTGAGGAACAGCTCTTTATTTCCAACCTACTAGGTTCAGTCCTTTCTTGCCATTTTTCCATCAAGTTGCAATTAGTACCTAAGCTTGATGAGAAAGTATTCTGTATCCTTTTATAAATACATCCTCAAATTTCAATTTAAGATTTTTTTACAGAGCTCATCTGGTACTGCATAACAGAACAGGAATGACCACTTACTCTTGTCTTTGTCTTCAGGTTTAAGGAACGGCTAAAGACTAAATATCTCAGGGATCTTCGGCAAAAGCAACAGTTATCTGGGGCATTAGATAGTCGCAAATGGCGTTTTTTGTCCCCGGGCCTGGATGATTTTAGAGATGGTTACCCGACAGTCAATAAAGAGCTCTTTACCCAGTGTAAGAGTGGACCCACCCCTGCGGTCTTTGGGATGCCGAACCACCACGCTTGTTCAACGAAGTTCCCGCAGAAGAGACTGAGTAAAACTCAAGCGTGTTACTCAAAGCAGAATCCCCAGAGTCAAGCTCAGCAGGAGTTCATTGATGCTGTCGAGCACAAACTCAAACAACACCCACTGGCCCTGTATCCACATCTGGAGAGCGGTCTGACACCAGAGGTAATACCACTTTTAAAATGTTGTCGACATGACTGGACAACATGTAAATGGGCTACACTTCAATTCATGTTAAAGTTGCTGTTAGCTATTTTTTAATGCAACGAACATTTACCCTCATTTTAAACCACAAAAAAGAGTTAACACCGTATCAATGGGGTTTCTAATAAGCTTCTTCTGTTTTGTTAGCAAATGGGAACACAAAAAATTACATTTGTTATAGTCTCCCATTCACCAGGATAGATAATTACCCAACGATGATAACGACTTACAATTTAGAGAATCATGGAAATGCGAAAAGGGTCCACTGGAAGCTGTGGGAGTGTTTGGGAAACCTGTTTGAAAACAGTTTTGTGATTCCATTTGGTGCTGCTTGTGGCGCTGAAATATCTAACAGCAGCTTTAAATATGAAAGATGATGAAGCAAAAAATAATATATTGAGGAATCTTAATTGCAATGTATAATATACAATGCCTCCAACTTTTTCAACAGTTATTTGATCAGGTGTTGTCAGTCCTGGATCCCGATATGTGCGTGACGGAGGAATTGTCCATAACATCTCCAACAAAGAAAACGGAACGTCTAGAAGAAAACAGAGCACAATGTGAATTCTCAACTCCGGAGACAATAAAACCATCCATCAACATCAAGTGATTTTAATTTCCTCTTTTGTGCATGTTTCTGGTTTTGGTTCTGATCCCATTCCATTAGAATGGAACCGGTCACAATGTTAGGTTAAAAACAGTATTCCTATTTTAATGTCAAATTTCTTTCCCGGTGGGAGACATTATAGAAGTATGTTACACATATCATAATACCATACCCTTCTTAAATTTCCCAAGGCCTCAAAAGGAAAAATGTAAAGACGCCAGACCAAGAAATCCCTATAAATGGCAGAGACTCAAAGGAACTCTGGGTGTTAGAGACGATCAGATGGCGAGTGTTAAACACTTGCACTCCGTATCACAAGATGACAAGCAGATGATTACCAAGCTCTTCTGTGAATGGATTACTTCACTGGTAAGTAATATTTCATCATCTACACATTACGCAATAGATATTAAGCCTAAATGGCTTTTTTCTTTCAATGTTTTCTCAGGGTGGAGAGACCAGTGATCTGACAGAGTCAACCATCTTGGACCTGTTTAAGAGTGACTATGAGAAGAAACCCTCCATGACCTCACCTATTAACAAGACCGATCCTAATCAAACTATAGCAAAACTCCAGAGCTCTGTAGAGGAACATCATAAAGGCCAGCGTGTTAAGGAGTTGACTCAGGTTGGAGACATTGTTTTTGTTCTTAATACATCATTTTTGTGATTGGATTAACAAGTCTCTTCTATGTTTGTACAACAGGCCTATAAACCCAACAGACCCCAGGCTGCCAATGATCCTCAAGCCCTGGCAGAGATCACAGGGAGTCTGGACTTTGAGGAACAGCTGAGTGAGCAGGTGACTTTTATAGCATCTACTAGGTATAAAGAGCAAATAATGTGACAGCTGATGATGAGGCAAACCAGCCTGATCTCTATTTAGTTGCTGGAGTTCCATTTATATTTTCCTGTCATCTAGGATAAGGAGTTGAAGCAGATTCACGGCATTCAGGCATTCAGAGAGTTCATTATCAAAAAGGGAGTGAGAATGCCAAGGGTAATACAACTGAATAAATATTTTATGAGTTTAAATTCAAATAATATTTCATATACTTTGACAAATTAATTATTTAATAATCAAGTATTTTATTCATGTCCTTGTGTAGTTTCTCAGTGCTGTATTCTCGGAGGATGAACAGAAGAACAGGATCAGAGGCTCCACATCATCATCTACAGGGAGAGCTGTGCATTAAACTCTTTAAATAATATTCCCTTATGTTGTTTTATTGAACATTACTTCACACATTCATCTTTAAATAATATTCCCTTATGTTGTTTTATTGAACATGACTTCACACATTCATGCATCAGCTGCTAAATGCAGTTCTCCCAACTACATTTTTTTTCTAAGATTAAAGGAACATTTTACCCCCAAGCCAGATTTCTGTATACAGTAAATTCATGATAAAACAAATTAAACTGGGGCGTATTTGGCATGGCTCTCTCTTCCTCTAGTTTTCTTTATTCATTCATAAAACTTCCACTGAAAAACAAATACTGTGTTCTCAGCTTCCCGGTGGGACGAACAAGGGCTTTCTAAGAAATTTTTGGGTAAACATCACATCCATAAGTCTGCTCTTATGCATTCTGCCATGCTAAACAGTTGCTAAGGTAGAATTGGTAAGTAATATTTTGAAGGCTGGTCTAGCAAAGGGTCGATTGTTATTAGGTGTGTTCGACCTCATGCGGCGCTGCACAGACCAAAGCAGTGCATGGCGGTTAGAAACGTCTAAGACCGAGAGAGCAGTCATCTGGCTCAGTCGGCTTAGTTTCTCAAGAGTGGCTGTATGAGCTCTGATGACAACACAGCTATTTCACAATAGGCTAGATTCACTGATAACAACAATGACGTGCGCTTCGTGTTTATTCTGACACCTTCAGTTCCACTAATGCTAACAAATCTTGTTTTTATAACAGTAAAAATGTAATCTTAAAGTTATTTTGTGTCATGTTAATTAAAAATGAAAGTGATTTAAATAATACAGACCTCACTTTATTGGTATTTTAATAATATAGGCTTATCTTGAACTTTTTTTTTTTTTTTTTTATACAGGTGCTGTATTAAAGGGTTAGTTCACCCAAAAATGTAAATTCTGTCATTAATTACTCACCCTCGTGTCGTTCCAAACGATAAGACTTTCGTTCATCTTCGAACACAAATGAAGGTCTTTTTGATGAAATCTGAGAGCTTTCTGACCCTACATTGACAGCTGCGCAACTGACACTTTGACGCTTCAAAAAGTTCATAAAGTGATCGTAAAACTAATCGATTGAGCGGTTTAGTCCAAGTTTTCTGAAGAGACTAATATGATGAACAGATTTAATTTAGGCTTTTATTCACATATAAACATTCATCAACTCACATCAGATGTGGTAAACGGAAGCTAAAGCATGTTCGCTTGACGTGCAAGAACCAATGATGTTCATTCTCGTGTTTCGCAGCAAGTTTGAACTTCTGCAAGAACCAATCATGTTCATACTCGCGGTCAAGCAGGTTTATGTTCGCTAATCAATGTTTATATGTGAATAAAAGCCTAAATTCAATCTGTTCATCATATAAAGCGACCGAGTCTCTTCAGAAAACTTGGACTAAACCTCTCAATTCATATGGATTAGTTTTACGATCACTTTATTAAGTTTTTGAAGCGTCAAAGTGTCAATTACGTTGTTGTCAATGGAGGGACAGAAAGCTCTCAGATTTCATCAAAAATATCTTCATTTGTGTTCCAAAGATGAATGAAATGACATTAGGGCGAGTAATTAATGACAGAATTTTCATTTTTGGGAGAACTATCCCTTTAAGCAGCACATAACCTACCAAATGAAAAGTGTTTCCGTTTGCTACATTTAAAAGTCAAACATCTGTTTATCTGACAAATATTACATCTAATCCACTTTATTTGTGATAAAGCAAACACAGTGTAAGCATCACTTTGGGAAGCTGAAAGTATCTGACTAGTTGAGTTTTCAACTTCTCTCCCAACTTTAAGCAGCAAATCTCACTGATCAGTAAGGCCAGCCACAGTCAAAGTCAAGCACACCTCTTGAGATTATAAAACAAAAATAGTGTCATTCTGACCATCACACTTCAGTTGAAGATCCTTCAGTAAGGTCTACGGTCTGTTCAGATCTTTTTCCGCGATCCCTGTCCTTTGAGCTCATCTTGATTGTTGGCAGCTGATAAAAGACCAATAAACTTTGGTTTAAGCTTTATAACCAAATAATCACTCACTGTGATTTACAACATACAGTAAAATAATTAAATCATTGGTATTGTTAAATAAATCCTGCATCGGGTAACACTTATCTGTTTAACTTTCATAAACCGGCTCTAATTGTGTTTGATGTGTAGCTTACATATCTGATTAGCGCTGGAAGGGGGCCAATAGTTTCTGTCAGCGGGAAGATCAGAAGTGAGGAGAAGGTGCACAGGAGACCTGCATCCTGCCGCACGAGTAGAGCGGGAATAGCACATCTGGCCCGCTCTAGAGCGTACTGCATTGTCTGTCAAACAAGAGACATTTGATTATATTTATGTATTTTTCCAAATTAGCAAAGATCATTAATCAGTTTTTCCATCATTGATTAAAGTAGTGGCACAAAGACTCACTGTCAGATGATAAAGGGCTGTTGCACTCCTGCTTATAAGGTTTAGCAGTTCTGAGCTCACTGCAAAGCACACATGCAACACAAGCAGCACATGCATTAAATGTGTCTCAGAGAGAGGGGAGAACAAGTATAAACCACTGCAGAGAAGCACTTAAATGTTACGAAACATCTTAACTGAGGAAAAAGCACTTTATTGGGCATCAAGCATCTGTGCATGTGTGGTTAGAAGGCATGAAACTACTTGTAGTTAACATGTGTGTGTACTTTCCTCATACCTGTAACTCGTTATTCTCCCAAATGGCCCTGTGGTACATCCAGCATCTTTAGTTTCTGTTGGTCTGCAATGAAAATGATCAATAAGATTTGAGTGATTCACAAAACTCTACTTGTACTCTACTCAACTCCTCCATTCCCTGATGATGTGGTCTTCCCTTAGGTGTTTTCCTCTATAATGGCCTTTTATGAATGAGACTCACTGTCTAGATGTGTGGTCTTCTTCGGGTATCCTCCTGAAGCTCGTACTAGTGTGTGGTCCTTGCTCTTCAACAATCCCGCCACGCAGCTCTCTTACAGCTCTCTTCAGCTCCACAATGGGGTCACACACTCTCACCTGGAAAGATTCCAAATGGAAATCCGTTCCAGCACATCTGTCAGTTCAGATATTTGAGTGTGTGTGTAGTTAGCAAGGCTTTTTCATACCTCCATTAGGCCATTAACGTTCTGCTGAGCGAGGGGAAGATGGGTACGACTGCTGACTGGAGATCTGGGAACGTTACGCCAGTTCTGGCTTTGCAATTCCTGACCAAAAACATAAGCATGGAAATTAGCATAACAGCAAAAGAATAGTAACGTTTGACCAGAAGATGAAATCAAATAATTACTACTACAGTAAATTTGTCTATGTTTTACCTTTAAATCTAAAGCATGATGCAGTTTCAGCCTCATAAGCTCCTGTTCCTGCTTCTGAATAAAGTCTTGACATTCAGCCAAACTGTCAGACATCTGTAGAATATACATTATGTTTCAATTGTTTACAATGTCAGTCATCTGCTCTATTATCTGACAGAATACTGTTGTATTTGGAATAAGCCTGTTTAACAAGAAGACTGTCAAGACACCTTGAATAAAGCTGCTTCCTGTCTCTCTGCTTTGCCTTTGAGTTCTCGCTCTTGTGAGCACAGCGTCTCCACTTCTGACTCCAGTCTTCTCCTGCTCTCCCTCTCTGACACTAGCTCTTGTGTCTGTCTCTTAACCAGCAATGCCTGACGATGCTTCTCCTATGACACACAAACACACATTTATATGTACATGTGCACAAAAGGAAAACACACATAAACAGAAAAAAGTTGCTCTTTGGACGATGCAACAATACTTTAATATTTAATATTTGTTCTTGCATTCAAGAAAAGTGCTGCAATAGTCATCTACTAAAGCCCATAAGGGTTTGTGGTGGATTTTAATAGATAAGATTAATAATGTTACTACCATAAACAAATCAAGATTTTAGATTAAAAATGTATCACACTTCTCGTTTTTATGTCTGATGGTGACTAACTTTCCATTCTAGATCTAACAATAAACCCAAATTAATCTTACTTCCTTTTATTTAGGATGTAGCCATCAGACAAACTTTCAATATGATCTGACTTTCTAAACAAACTTTTGACTCAATGTAACCTTGGTCAGTGGAACTTTGAAAATGGACTAAACGTTCTGTTCTTTAACTGTATTGTGAAATGATTGATTGAAATATTAACCCCTTACAATGTTTTTTTGATGATACATGATATTTTTGCTGATGTCACATGATATTTTTGCTGATGTCACATGATATTTTTGCTGATGTCACTAATAAAGGGTAATGAAAGGGGGTTGGGGGTGGCTTGCTTTAAAAAATGTAACCAATCATATTGATATAGCGTGACATGTTAGTCATGATGATTCTATTTTGATGTGTCTGGCTTTCTCCTATAAAGCTTGTTGTATTCCTCTTTTGGTTGAGATTCTCTGAGAACTGCTCGAGAACTCCTGGCCGTAATAAAGAGCATTTAAAGGACAATTACTCAAGTCTGTCTGTCATTTAAGCTGCACAGCAAGAAAACAAGTAAGTTAGAATTATCGTCTGGAGACACGCGCTAACGTATACGTTATACTAGTATAGTTAGTTTTAGGGAAACAAATCTAAAATAGTTAGGTTTGAGGAAAAAATCTATAACAGGTTTTTTGCAAGGTTTATGGCTGGAAAACATCAGTCTTACACTGTAGTTACACAATTTTAACTTATTTCACAATACTGTGCAATCTGCGATTCTAAGTAGCGTAACTAGTAGTAGCTAACTCCCAATGAGGAGTGAAACAATTTCCTAAATGCAACAAAGAACATTCTAATATTTCCAACTTAGTTTCAGCCATATAATCATGCAATTCAACAAATTGAAGTTTTACAAACACCTTGGAGAATCTGCAAGAGTTAATAGTAAAAAAGAGGGAATAAAAACAAGTTACATCCCATTCAAAAAGCTTATATCCCCAGCTCTTAATGTATCATGTTTCCTTCTTGAACACCATTGAATGTTTGCAGCTTTTGCAATATTTGTGTACGAGTTCCTCAGTTATCCTCAGTGTGAAAAGATGGATTTCAAAATCATAGTCACAGCTGAAAAATGGTTCAAAGATGCAGAAGATGTTGGAAAACCAAAGAATGTGCAAGACCTTGAGGATTTGTTTTGTTTAAAAACAGTTTACAGTTAAACTCAGGATAATTAAGGAACTCATGAACAACTATCACAAGACATAAAAACAGTCTTGAATCATCCAGGTATTAAGAATTAAACTTATGAACTGGTTTATTTGTGTCAATTCAGTGTCTTAGGGACTATTTGTAAACATCTGTTATGTGATACAGCTTAGGTCAGCAGCACTACATACAAAAATTAAAATAAATTGTATAATCCCTCTTATTATTATTTTTTACAAATTATTAACATTTGTGCTGATTCTGCAAAGTGTATGTAAGCTTATGACTACACCTGTAGAACAAATACAAAAAATACAAAATTCCATTTCATTTCAATCAAGCAGAGTAAGTTAGACCTACATTCAGGCCATGTTTCACACTGTCTTTCTGATAATCCTCTCCTATAAATATTTCATGCATTTTAGTGGTGGGAAAGGGGTATCCCTGACAGTGCTTTGTGAAAACAGAAAAGTGCTCAACAGTCAATAAAAATGATTTCCCCTGGTCTCAAACTAAAGGAGATACTTTTGAAACAAGATAAATAATAAAGTACCATTTTTAGAATTCAGACACCATGAGGTTGAAAGCCCCACTTAATTTACTGTGTTTGCGACAAATCTGAGGCCATACCTTCCCTCCAATTGTTGTTAATTATTTGGAAAATACATAAATATACACTTTTTTTTTTGGTCTGAAAAAAATTTCACATCAAGAATTATGATAACAGTATTACCTATATACACTCACCTAAAGGATTATTAGGAACACCATACTAATACTGTGTTTGACCCCCTTTCAGAACTGCCTTAACTCTACGTGGCATTGATTCAACAAGGTGCTGAAAGCATTCTTTAGAAATGTTGGCCCATATTGATAGGATAGCATCTTGCAGTTGATGGAGATTTGTGGGATGCACATCCAGGGCACGAAGCTCCCGTTCCACCACATCCCAAAGATGCTCTATTGGGTTGAGATCTGGTGACTGTGGGGGCCATTTTAGTACAGTGAACTTATTGTCATGTTCAAGAAACCAATTTGAAATGATTCGAGCTTTGTGACATGGTGCATTATCCTGCTGGAAGTAGCCATCAGAGGATGGGTACATGGGGGCCATAAAGGGAAGGACATGGTCAGAAACAATGCTCAGGTAGGCCGTGGCATTTAAACGATGCCCAATTGGCACTAAGGAGCCTAAAGTGTGCCAAGAAAACATCCCCCACACCATTACACCACCACCACCAGCCTGCACAGTGGTAACAAGGCATGATGGATCCATGTTCTCATTCTGTTTACGCCAAATTCTGACTCTAACATCTGAATGTCTCAACAGAAATCGAGACTCATCAGACCAGGCAACATTCAGTCTTCAACTGTCCAATTTTGGTGAGCTCTTGCAAATTGTAGTCTCTTTTTCCTATTTGTATTGGAGATGAGTGGTACCCGGTGGGGTCTTCTGCTGTTGTAGCCCATCCGCCTCAAGCTTGTGCGTGTTGTGGCTTCACAAATGCTTTGCTGCATACCTCGGTTGTAACGAGTGGTTATTTCAGTCAAAGTTGCTCTTCTATCAGCTTGAATCAGTCGGCCCATTCTCCTCTGACCTCTAGCATAAACAAGGCATTTTTCACCCACAGGACTGCCGCATACTGGATGTTTTTCCCTTTTCACACCATTCTTTGTAAACCCTAGAAATGGTTGTGCGTGAAAATCCCAGTAACTGAGCAGATTGTGAAATACTCAGACCGGCCCGTCTGGCACCAACAACCATGCCACGCTCAAAATTGCTTAAATCACCTTTCTTTCCCATTCTGACATTCAGTTTGGAGTTCAGGAGATTGTCTTGACCAGGACCACACCCCTAAATGCATTGAAGCAACTGCCATGTGATTGGTTGATTAGATAAATTCCTAATAATCCTTTAGGTGAGTGTACTTACTTAGATCATAGGTCTTAAACCCTGCTCCTGGAGGCCCACTGTCCCGCAACGTTTCTCACCAACCCTAATAAAACACACCTGAATCAGATAAAGCTCTTCAGGATCGCTTGAAAATCACAAGCTGAAGCAGGTTGGTTATAAACTTTGCAGGGAAGTGGGACTTCAGGAGCAGGGCTGAAAACCTCTCACTTAGATATACAGTGCTGTGAAAAATGTTTTGCCCCCTTCCGGATTATTTTTTTTTTGCATATTTAATCACACTTAAATGATTCAGATCATCAAATAAATTTTAATATTACACAAAGATAACCCAAGTGAATACAAAATGCAGTTTCTAAGTGATGATTTCATTTATTAAAGGAAAAAAGCTTGCCAAACCTGCCTGGCCCTATGTGAAAAAGTAATTCCCCCCTAAACCTAACAACTGGTTGTGCCACCCTTGGCGGCGGCAACAACTGCAATCAAGCGTTTGCGATAACTGGCAATGAGTCTTTCACATCGCTGTGGAGGAATTTTGGCCCACTATTCTTTGCAAAATTGTTTTAATTCAGCCACATTGGAGGGTTTTCGAGTATGAACGGCCTGTTTAAGGTCATGCCACAGCATCTCAATTGGAATTAAGTCCGGACTTTGACTAGGCCACCCAAAACCTTAATTTTGTAGCCATTCAGAGGTGGACTTTGCTTGTGTGTTTCGGATCATTGTCCTGCTGCATAACCCAAGTGCGCTTGAGGTCACGAACTGATGGCCAGACATTCTCCTTCAGGATTTTCTGGTACAGTGAAAAATTCATGGTTCCATCAATAATGGCAAGTCGCCCAGGTCCTGAAGCAGCAAAGCAGCCCCATACCATCACACTACCACCACCATGTTTGACTGTTGGTATGATGTTCTTTTTATGAAATGCTGTGTTAGTTTTATGCCAGATGTAACGGGACACACACCTTCCAAAAAGTTCAACTTTTGTCTCATCAGTCCACAGAATATTAGTGTAAGAATAATTACTTTTTCACATAGGGCCAGGCAGGTTTGGACAGCTTTTTTCCCTTAATAAATGAAATCATCATTTCAAAACTCCATTTTATATTTACTTGGGTTATCTTTGTGTAATATTAAAATATGTTTGATGATCTGAATTATTTAAGTGTGAATAATATGCAAAAAAGAGAGAAAAAATCAGGAAGGGGGCAAACAATTTCTCACAGCACTGTACTTAGTTACCAACAGTTTGGGCCTGGACACCTTCTATTTTTACATATACACACTAATTAGTAACAGGTAGTTGCTGTGAGAAACCGAAAGTTCTCGTTAGTGATGCATTTCACCATCTTGAGCTTCTCAATGGTCTCTTCCAGCAGCTGAATTCGGCTTTGCAGAAAATCAATCTGCTCTCTTTTAGTAGTGATCTGTTTCTGCATCCCAAGAGCAACCCTGAGACCTGAAATACATATAAAACACATTCCAATCAGTTCAACCACAGTAAATACCAAGAATACAACTCTGAAAAATAATTCACTGTCCTGTCTGAAAGAGGAATATTATGTACAATGCATTATTGAGGTATCGCCCTATTTGTGGATTGTTTCTCAGGTTGTTATGTCAGCTGCATCACGTTCACAAGAGAATAACTTGGACTATATTGTTAATGTATTGTCTGCATTTCAAAAGACGCTTTGTCCAGTGAACCAATGAACAGAAACTTACGTCATATGAGACCATTTTACCATTCTGTCTCTCTCACAATTGAATGGGACAAAATGAAACAATGGAGGGTTACAGAGGTCAGACCTAAGAAATCATAGCTACATTATGTAACAGCCCCCACAACCACTGCACACAGCGAGAACAAAAATGTTCTTTAACAATGTCTCAATACACGGACGTCAAACAGCTGAAAACATTGTATAAATGTTAAAATGCATACTTTGTGCGGATTAAGTGATGGAAAAGTACATAGTGGAATAACAGCAGGAGTGCATGGAGCAGATCTATAATCTCAGTATGCCGTCTTCCTGCCATTATCCAAAATGCAAAACAACAAAACCATGGCCACACACTGGCTCTCTGTAAAGAATGTAAATGAATCCAGTAATGCAGGGTGTGGTCTTCCGCCTTTTATTTTATATACACTTGACCTTGGTCTGGTTTTTCCTGAGGTAACACTGTGAAAACATCCTCACTTTAAATATCAGCAGTGCTATGAATTGGTACGGATGCTTATATTTGTATTTGAGTGTATTAGGATTTTTTTCTCAAAGCTTTGATCTCTGAATAACTCAGGGGCCAGTCCTGTGAGGTTACTGAGGGCGAATTGTGGATCATTGTTCTTTTTAAATGCCTTCCTACCTGTAGCTGTACAAATTATTTATAAAAAAAAAAAAAAAAAAAAAATTTTTGTGTGTGTATGTACCATGACCATCAACTCCCTCCAGGGTTCTCAACCAACTGTTTGCCTGAGTCAGTTCTGCCCGCACGGTCTTCAGCTGAGTCCTGAGGTTAAGGCTCTGTTGTTCCAGCTCACAGGTCTTATTGCTAAATAGCTCTTTAAAAGCTTCCTGCCCCTCTGATTAATAGGGAATAAAAGTCAAAAATGTCAAGGTGATACAACTGTGATATCAGAATGAAGACAAAAATCTCATTAAAAGAAAGAAATGCTTCAAATGAAATGTTAAAGGACATGGCCATAATCTTTTATTCATATTTCTAAGAAAATATTCACTATCATTCATAAGTTTCTTTCTTTTTTCTTAGACTAATCTGTCGGTCTGTAAAAAAACAAATTTAAAAGATTATCCATCAACAGAGAACATCCTTAATGTTTTGAAAAGTTTCTTAAGATCACCTGGCTACATTTATTTCACTATTAAATACAATAAAACAGTAATTCTGTGAAATATTATTACAATTTTAAATGAATATTTTCTAATTTAATATTTTTTTTAAATATAATTTATCCCTTTGATGCCAAAGCTGAATTTTCAGCATCTTTACTCCAGTCTTCAGTGCTACAGAAATCATTATAATATGCTGATTTGATGCTTAAGAAAGATTTCTTATTGTTATTATAAATGTTGAAAACAGTTCTGTTGCCTAATATTTTGTGGAAAAAGAGTTATATTTTTTTTTTGATGAAAAGAAAGTTCCAAAGAACAGCATTATCCTTGCTGAATAAAAGTATTATCATTATTATTTTTAAATCATACCTACCCAAACTTTTAAACAGTAGTATATAAAAAAAAAAACTGTTTTACTGAACAATAATATCTGAAAACCTGTTGACTGGCAAATTATGTATTCCAAACAGACAGAAACATAAACCAAGAAATTACATCATACAGAGGTCAATATCTCTTAAAATACCAGATAATTTGAGCTTTTTTAATAAGGCAATGTTCAGGTTTTAAAATGTACTTCCCAAAAACATTTATGAATATTTAAAAATATTTTATGCTACTTGTAAACAAAATGCTTTACCTCTGAAAATATATTTAAAAACTTGGAAATAATAATTGAGATGCATGTACACTCATGTATTCAAGGTGTAATTATGTTCATAATTTAGATTTGATTGTTACACATGACAATTATAGAGTTATTAAATTTAGACTTTTCTTTTTCGTGAATAATATGAATCCTACTATATGTCATTGACCCAGATGTCACTTGGTTTGAATTTTTGCTTCTGCCAAAACATGCAATAAAAAATACAATACAATAAAAGCAAGGGACAATGTACGTTGAACAGTGTTTATCATCAGTCTGCAGTTTGTGATAGCATTCAGATGAATCCGTGTCTGTACCTTTCAGCTGGGTAAGCTGCATACGCCGCACTTCCAGCTCAGCGGTCATCTGCTGTTTCTCGAAAGTAAGCTGATCAACACTGCAGGTCTTTTCTGAGAGCGCAGCCTGCTGACAGGCCTTCTCTCCGGCCATTGTGCTGAGTCTGAGCTCTGCCTGTCTCAATGCGGCCTGTTAAAACCAAGGGCTAATTAAATAATTTGTCAAACATATCTTCCTGTTCTAGCCATTCATGATCAATAATGCCCATGAATGGGGTAATTTAATCTATAACCGGTTTATTCTCTGAACAAAAAAAACCTAATAGCGAAGGCATCCTAAATTGTGTATTAGTTGAATTCAACTACTAAAAAGATTCTCCAAATTTCCCCACCTTCAGTTGTTGGTTCTCTCCTCTGAGCTGCTCGATCTGGTTAGTTAAATATTGTTGCATGTCCACAGTGCAGCTGTGCTCTGAGATAAACTGCATGGCATTGTCCAGTTCTGCACTCATCATCCGGTCATCTGCCTCTGTCCTCATGACCTTCAGCAGACCCTGAACCTCTTCCAGCGGGACATGGACCTGCTGCGGATACCACTGCTTCAACAACACGGGCAGATGCCTTCTCTCCAACTGAATCACATATAACAACACATAAGCCTCAAAACTGCCTGCATTCTCTGAAGAACATATGGTTCTCAACCGGTGGGTCGCAGCAGGCCTGTTTTGAAAGGCTTTCAGACATCAGGAAAAAGACTATTTAAGTTTTAAAAGGGAGGAGAAACACTTCCCACATCTTTTGTCAAAGGCTGTGTGTCCTATCAGACTCTATGGTATTTCTGTGCAAATTCATGTTTATGTTAATTTCGCGGTATAATTAACAAATTTGTTTTATTTTAAGGAGCTTTTTGTCAACTTTGGTACTGTGTTTGGTTGGCACAGTGCTGTAAACAGTATGAGTATAGATGATGTCGCCTTGTGTCAGCAGTCTTTTGTCAAGGTTGTTGCTTAAAAATATAGACAAAGAAGATGTAGAGTAAACGGAACTGTGAGTCCTCTTTGCATGATTTTGAACTCAATGCATGTGGTACATCCTGTAATATAAGATGCAATTGCAGTTATTCCTGTTGGAGTCTGAGGCTGGTACAGGCTGTGCCGACCTGCAGTCGATCTGCCTCTCTCTTGGCTTGCTAGAGCTACTTTCTAATCAATTCGGTCTCACTGTGCAGACTTGGCAGCTCGACCAGACTCATGCTGTTCTGTCTCTGCCAACAGCTCAGAAGTGTCATAAACAGTTTGAAAATGCAATTTTTAAAAATGAGTTAGTTAAAATGATCTTAAATGTCCAGCAGGTACTTTTCTGTTGAAAGAGAGAGAGAGAGAGAGAGAGAGAGAGAGAGAGAGAGAGAGAGAAATGCTATTGTATTCTAAAATATGATTTTTTGAATGTTTTTGAAAGAGGTCTCATGCTCCCTAAGGCTGCATTTATTTTATCATAACTACAGTAATATTCAGAAATTTATAACAACTGATTTGGATCTTTATTTTAATATTTAAAATTGTCATTCATTCCTGTGATGGCAAAGCTGAATTTTCAGCATCATTACTCCAGTCTTCAGTGTCACATGATCCTTCAGAAATCGTTCTAATATGCTGATTTGCTGCTCAAGAACATTTCTTATTATTACCAATGTTGTAAACAGTAAAAAATTTTGTGGAAACCGCATGGTACTTTTTTTCAGGATTTTTTTTTCATGAATAGAAAGTTCAAAGAACAGAATTTATTTGAAATTGAAACCTTTTGTAATATTATAATGGTCTTTACTGTCACTTTTGATCAATTAAATGCATACTTGCTGATAGTTTAATTATTATTTTTTTTTTTTTAAATCCTTACTTACCCCAAATATTTACACAGTAATGTACACTTTTCAACAGGCGATTTCTACAAAGGCATTTTTCAATGAAAACTTTTGCTTTGGTGTGACTAAATACCTCTGATCAAGACCACTGAATTGCACCTTTAGCTGTTGATGAGACATTTCTTAAAGCTGAAAGTGTGTCATTTTTGGCCTTATAGTGTTGCAAAAATAAACATTGCCTGTGTTTGTGATAAAAGTATGTGATAAAAGTAGCATGTCCGAAATCACAGTACTCAGAGATTAGGCAAAAAGTACTTGGATGACCTACTTCTTCTGGCTAGATTCTAAAGTGTGCTTACGATGGACACTTTACTATCCCATGAGGCCACGGGAGAGGATTTGTTAACGGCAGTGACATGACACAACTGGTAGGTCACGTGATAAGGGCAACATAGGGAATGTAGTACATCCAGATTATATTAATACTACACACATTCATACTATATAGAACATAGATTTTTAGCTGTCGGAAGTAATTACTTATTCAAAATAAGTACCTATTTAAGAGAGTATGCGATTTCAGAAGCAGCTACTGTTTCCAAACAAGTTTCCTAAACACTCCCCAGCTGCTATTGGTCAGGAAAACAGATAGCCCCGCCCAAATCTTACGCCATTGGTTAAACCAATGCTGTGGCATTTGGGCTAGTCTGGATGCACAAACAAACAGGTCAATGATTTGATAGTGCCACAAATACACAGCATTTACAAACTTCAGGTCAGTATGTATCTGACAGTTGTTTTTAAAAAACTGCAAACTAAAAACAAACATCTTGAGCTGCCTACACTACTGTTTATTACTAAAAGTTGGCCAAGTTGTGTATGTAATTGGGCTGAGAGGTCTCTTCCTCTCACGGCCTTCCCGGCCTGGGACTGGAATTGAGCCAACTGCTCCTCCACTGAACTGACCAGTAGCCAACTCAATTACGTTCCAACAAACCCTTCTCTCATTGTAGACTACAGCCAAATCCAGCATATGAAGGCTATCAAGCATACCAGATGCATCAGTCAGACAGTGCTAATGTGAAAACATCCCACATTCCAGTGTTCTGCAGCTTTGGTGTAAACACAAAAAGGGCTTGGAACACCCGTCTCATTACCTTAGTTTCATACATCCGTTGTTTCTCTGACTCCAGCTCACTTTTCTTGATCTGGTGTAAACAGGCTTGACTTGCAGCTTATTCCAACGTTTCTAGCACAGAACAAAACCATTTTAATCAAAAACTGACAGAAGGAATAGCAGCTGGAAGGATACGTGTATGATGAGATTGAGAACTTGCTGAATAACTCCACCAGAAGCTGCACTCTGTCAGCACCAAAGTTTCTCAGTCAATATCGCCACCCTCTGGTCAGGACTGGTAATGCGTTGCTCTTGTCTGTAACAGAATAACATAGGCTACTGATGGATCACACGGACTTCAGAAGTGGGAACTGGGAAGTAAGACATTTCCGATAGCACGTGAAAGCGGCATAAGTGTGCAATCCATCTAACGTAATATCGACATAATGACTATCATCATTCACTGTCTGCAGCACTTTTTTTTAAGCATTTCAATATGTCCATCCCGCCTAAGTCTGCAGTATAACAGGGTACTGTATAACAATTTCTATAGTTTTGTTGTGTTTTATCACAACCATGTTATAATAAGTTTTTGACCACATGTTTGTTATAAAGTAGAATCAACGCCTGTTAGCTAAATATATATAAAAAAAACGTTGCGTTGTTTATTCTCTGCGCTATTATTTTAGCTGACCGTCAGTCAGTCAGTCATTTAACGTTACATAAAAAGAAAGCAGTAACGTTACATACTACTCACATAACGTTGTACGACCATATTAACCTAGCAAACTTACTCAGTATGGAAGAAGTTTTCGAAACGAAACGCTTCCGGTGGTGGACAGGTGCTTTAGTCATGTTTATCAGCTTTATTTTTGATGGCTAGAAAACATCCTGCGATATTCTCTTTCTCTACAAATAAATTGGGAGTAAAAAATATTCAAATTTAAGGTACATTTATTTTCTTCTTACTTTGTTTGCACGTGCAACGAGATTTAACGAAAGCTACCTAACGTGCTAGCTAGTTTTCAAACAGGCGCAATGAAGCCATCATCATCGCCATAGCAACCACAGAGCTCGTAACAAGTTAACCAATTAGCTCGTAAAACGTCACGCAACATGTCGCTGATCACACAACACAAGAAACACCCCAGTGTGGCAAGCCGTTTTAACATTTAATCATTTTAACCTACTAGTCTCTATTTTCATGCTACTAGTACTTATTTTTTAGATCTATTTAATTAAGTACTAGTACTTATTCATTAGATACTAGTGCTTATTATAGGTACTAGTGCCTATTCTTTACTTATTCATTAGATACCAGTGCTTATGTATTAGTTACTAGTACTTATTCATTAGATAGGCCTACTAGTACTTATTCATTAGATACTAGTGCTTATTATAGGTACTAGTGCCTATTCTTTAGATACTAGTATTTATTTATTAGATACTAGTACTTATTCATTAGATACTAGTACTTATTCATTACATACTAGTCCTTATTTATTAGATACCAGTACTAATTACTACTTATTCATTAGATACTAGTACTTATTCATTAGATACTAGTACTTATTCATTAGATACTACTTATTCATTAGATACTATTACTTATTTCAATAGTGACTAGTAACTATTCTTTTGTTACTAGTAACAAATTTATTTTTTTGCCATTGACTTCTATGGGGATCTGTCATTGAGATATCAACTATTCAGTTCAGTATGTATTCTAATTGTGACTAGTAAATATATATTAGATACTAGTAGTTATTCAGTAGGTACTAGTACCTATTAAATAGATACTAGTACTTAATCATTAGATACTAGTACTTATTCATTAGATACTAGTACTTATTCAATAGCTACTAGTACTTATTCAATAGATACTAGTACTTATTCATTAGATACTAGTACTTATTCAATAGATACTAGTGCTTATTCATTAGATACTAGTACCTATTGAATAAGTACTAGTATCTAATGAATAAGCACTAGTATATATTGAATAAGTACTAGTATCTATTGAATAAGTACTAGTATCTATTGAATAAGTACTAGTATCTAATGAATAAGTACTAGTATCTAATGAATAAGTACTAGTATCTAATGATTAAGTTAGTATTTAATAGGCACTAGTACCTAATGAATAACTACTAGTATCTAATATATATTTACTAGTCACAATTGGAATACATACTAGTCAGAACTGAGTAGTTGATATCTGAATGACAGATCCCCATAGAAGTCAATGGCAAAAAAAAAAAATTGTTACTAGTAACAAAAGAATAGTTACTAGTCACTATTGAAATAATTACTAGTATCTAATGAATAAGTACTAGTATCTATTTAATAAACACTAGAATAAGTAGTATCTAATGAATAAGTACTAGTAACTAATAAATAAGCACTGATATCTAATAAATAAGGACTAGTATCTAATGAATAAGTACTATCTAATAAATAAGGACTAGTATCTAATGAATAAGTACTAGTATCTAATAAATAAAGACTAGTATCTAATGAATAAGTACTAGTATCTAAAGAATAGGCACTAGTACCTAAATAATAAGCACTAGTAGCTAATGAATAAGTACTAGTATCTAATAAATAAGGACTAGTATCTAATGAATAAGTACTAGTATATTGAATAAGGACTAGTATCTAATGAATAAGTACTAATATCTAAAGAATAGGCACTAGTACCTAAAGAATAAGCACTAGTATCTAATGAATAAGTACTAGTACTAATGAAATAGATACTAGTATCTAAAAAATAAGTACTAGTAGCATGAAAATAGAGACTAGTAGGTTAAAATGATTAAATGTTAAAACGGCTTGCCATACTCAGTGTGCCTTTACCATGTGCATCAGAAAACTTCATGCATTTCACAATAATCAACACGATGTAAAAATGTCAGAAAGAAACCTGTTAATTGGTTAAGCTGCCTTGCCATGGACGGTATAAAAAGTAGTAGAATAGCCTAATAAACATCACATAAAAAAAAAGCAAATGTTGTAAATTTTAAATAAAAAAAGTAATCTCCTTAGGTATAATTTACGATGAAAATAGCCTATTATATTTAAGGCAATGTGTATAATGTATAGGCCTATGTTAAAAATATAGGCTAACAAATATTACATAAGTTTTAATATCTCAAATGGATTAGTTTTAATAGTTTATTTTAAATGTGCAATAGAAATGTGATTTGACTTGTGTATGGATAATGATAGAAATAAATTATTTGTATTTCTCTGTAATTTCTTTATTTTCCCATGAATATGTGTTTCACACAATTGTTATCTATAACCAAAGATTTCTAATTTTCCAGTTTGTTTTATAGGTTATGTATTGTATTTGCATTGATAATTATGTCGTTTTTTAAATAAAAATATGTCAGTGTTTTGGTGTTCAATTGTTTATTTCGTAATAAAGATATGTATTTCACTCTCAATAAATTATAGAGAGCAAGTAGGCTACATGTGGTACGTTTCCCATTACAGACAATATAATGCTTCATGTTCACCACAAAAGATGACATTATAATTTCACCCTCTTGATATGGTCTTTCTTCTCACTCGCCGAACAGTGTGTGAGTGTGTGTGTGTGTGTGTGTGAGTGTACATGTTTGTCTATCCTGGTGGTGGGGACTGAATGCACACAGAATCATGGGGACTCGTGTCACTGTGGGGACCTAAATTAAGGTCTCCATGAGGAAACAAGTTTATAAATGATACTGGAGTTTTTTTTTTTTTTTTTTAAATGTAAAAATGCAGAAAGTTTTCTGTGATGGGTATGTTTAGTGTAATTGGATAGAATATACAGTTTGTACAGTATAAAAACCATTACGTCTATTGAGAGTCCCCACAAAGATAGTGAACCAGACATGTGTGTCTCTCTCTCTGTGTGTGTGTCGTCTCTTCCCACGCACCCTCCCCCGCCTCTCCGCTCGCTCTGCCCAAAAAAAATGTGAAACCAAATCCGAGCAGCAGGTCACAGCGCCTAGTTATTTTAAAACCAATACTCAGCTACATCGACAGGACCATGGAAGTAACGCGGAACGGGCAGTTTAAAGAAACAATCGTCGCCTTGAGAGATACAGAGTAAAATGAGGGAGCGCCACTACGCTGGTTTAATGTGTATTGTTGTTTGGCTGCTCGTGCGTCTCCAATGTCTCTGCCCGTAGTTCTGCCTGGATCTTGTTGTCGTTTATCAGGGGCTGCTCTGGCCCATCAGTTCGCTAACGCCTCTTACAGAAGTCGCAGCCGCTGTGTGTCCGCTCTCCCGGCCCGTATGTCTGGATCGCAGACGCGGATGATCCCGGCGCTGCTGCCCGCTCGCCCTCTGCTCTCCCTCGGCTTGCTGCAGCTGGTTCTCGGCTGCTCCATGGTGGCGCTCTCTTTCGGGGCTCTGTCCCTTAGCAACTCGCCCCCTATTAGAAACTCCTGTCCGTTTTGGGCCGGCTCTTCTGTGAGTATTAGATTACTGGCCATAATCAGAGGTGCTATGTTTTTATTTTACACCACATAAGCATGCTACAGTAGGCTACAGATATTAAAATATTTACCTGATAATATGTCACTGATGTCTACAGCTTTTAATTGATTCATTACAAACGAACAGGTATAAGGAAGTTTTATTGCGGTCTAATGTGTTTCCAATGTAACGTTAGTCTGATACAGAAACGTGGTGCTACACTTTTAGTTCAGCCTATTTGCTATGACCAGACCACATCAGACACTGTAGTTTACCAATAATTCACTATGATGAAAGATCCGATCTGTTAATGTTGTAAATGAGTTATTAGTTAGACTTAACGAGTTGGCCACTAATGTGCAGTTGTTGCCTCAAGGAAATATTTCTACCTGATCTGTCCAGTATACTTTTATTGGTGTAACCTTATGTAGGCTGATTCAGTTAAATAAATTTGTAATATTTTATATTAAATAATAATTTAACTGTAATTTCTTAAGTTTTCAGATCTTTAGAAACTAGTGCCAAGTTTGTCCCTCAAAAGTGCAATTTACAATATCATTTCCTATATTTAAGTATGGTTTACATTTGTGGTCATTGGCAGGAGCTGAGTGAACTCGTCAGTGAAGTCATGGTTGAGTGTGAATCTCTTTTACTGCTTAACACTCTATAGTGAGATACTGTTTTTAAGTAATGCTGCCATATTATGCATACCACACACTTAAAAAAAAAAACTTATTTTGGCATGTAAACAACAGTTAAATAACAAGATCTAATGTTTGCTTATTTATATATTTGAGTTTGAAATTAATTAGTGATGAAGAAAATCAAGAAATTGTAACTCTAAAAACTCAAGTAAAAAAATCTGAAATAATTGTGTAATTTACCAACGATGGAAATAAAGATATTATAACAATGCTGAAATCACTGTCAAGTTGATTGTCTTATTAAATAATATATTTATTAATATTAATCAATTAATTAATTATTAAATACATTTTTTATAAGTTACCTGACGACAAAACATTTTACACTTAACAATGGAGCAACATACTTTTTGATTATGTATGAAAAGAAATGAGCTAAACACAGGAACCGCTCAGCTGAAATGGCAGTCCCACATCATTCAGTGTAATCGACAGGAAGTGGCAGGGTTAGAGGAAACACAAGGGAGCCGAGTATGGACAATAGTATTTGAGTGAGGCTGCCGGCTAACACCACACTGAGTGAGATGAGTCATTGAAACAGGTTTTAAAAGTGCTGAAGGCCCTTTTGAGAGTGTACAGCATGTGGTAATGGGTTCATTATCAGTTAACCTGTCTGTGAGTGTTTTCCTGTTCACTGAAAGTACTGTTTGTTTTCTGCAGGTCATCCTCTCTGGGATTATAGGACTAACCACATGGAAACGGCCAATGCTATTATTGGTATGTGTGTTTTGCCAATCTAAGACTGATGGTATTTAAGGCGACAGTTTTTGTGTTCCCTTTTGAATAAGCAACTTGAAAGTGGTTATATGATGTTTACTACACAGAATGAATCCTGTATTGATCTGAACAGCTGAACATAGGCCCTTAAATGACTCCTTAAAGGGATAGTTCACCCCAAAATGAAAATTCTGTCAGTAATACTGTTCCAACCCCGTAAGACTTTCGTTCATCTTCGGAACACAAATAAAGATATTTTTGATTAAATCTGAGAGCTGGATCACTCCTCCATAGGCTTCTAAGGGATCGAAACTTGGCGGCCCAGAAAAGTTAAAGACATCGTTAAAATAGTCCAAGTGACTACAGTGGCTCAATCTTAAGTTTATCAAGTGATGAGAATAATTTTTGTGTGCAAAAAACAAACAAAAATAACGACTTTATTCAACTATTAATTTCCTTCTCTGTGGGCCTCGAGATAGTTCGCGTAGTAGGGATGCATCGATCCGATACTCCGTATCGGTATCGGCTCCGATACTGCCATTTTTGCCGGATCGGGTATCGGTCAGAGGAGGCCGATCCAAATCCGATATTGTGCGTATTATTCTGTGTTATTGTTAAGCCCCACAAAAGGCACAAAAACATTATCAAGTACCATAAAGTTTTCGTGCACTATATTATGAGTGTTCTGAAGCCATTATATAGTATAATGTGAGATAAAAATTAATATTTAAGTCATTAAATTCAAGACCTCGTAAACTTTTTCCCTCCGCTGCGGCTGTCAGTCATTCTCCATTCAGCATTTAACAGCGCATGGCGTTCTGTTACGACAGGCAACACGATGAAACTCTCCAAGATCAAGATGATTCAATGTTACTATTATTATTCTTGATCTGTAGATAAAGGTCTATGGTTTAGCATAAAACAACTTTATATTGCTGGACTTTATTGCTGTAACTAAATCATGTTACTTTCTACCGGGCGTCTGTTAGATCGCAACAGAGTAGCCTAGAGTCAGAGAGCATTATAATTGTTCTTCACGCGCACAGTAACTGAAATTTAAAACTGTTAAAAGAAAAGGCTCAATAAACGATTGCATAGATACTGTGTATAATACACTACGCATCGATATGTCTTTCCTTTGTGCTTTGAACTGTTCAATGCGGATTCGACGCGCTGCGCGCTGTGACTCCGTGTTGCTTCAAGCGCATCATTCTGCGCTCGGGATGCGCATAAGCGCTGTGTGCCGCACTGTATTGGATCCTTTCATAATCATATAATACTACTTTTGCGCAATGAAAGATTATTAATAGCCTTTCTTGTTCTGTCCTATCTATCATATGTTGCTGCCTCATTAAACAGCTGTGCTATACATTTAAAACATGTCTCAATTTTATAGTAGCCTAGCCATAGGCTAGGCCCTATATATAATAATTTATCTTTTTGATTTTTGTTATCTTGTTTTTCATGAATGTATTTTACAACAATACAAAGAGCAATGTGTAATGTTTGACCAGATTTAGTGTTACACTTATTGTCTCTTATTTGTTCCCCTAAATTTTCTTCACTAAATGTTCAGATTTTATACAATTATTGTGCACTCATGATTTTTCTAGACTAAATTGCACTGCTGAATTATCCACTAATCTAGTTTATTATAGCATTTTTGTCACAGATTATGATAATATATTTTTTGGATTTGTTGTTTTTCTTTAAAATTAAGTTGTCTGTGTTAAGTAGATTGTGTTTAACACACAAAAGAGTGATTATCAGTTCAACACACAGAGTTATAGAAATTCTACTTGATTTAAAAAAAAAACTGCACTGGTATCGGATTGGTATCGGTATCGGCCGATACTCAGAATTTTGGGATCGGATCGGATCGGTTTTGAAAAAGCGGTATCGTTGCATCCCTATCGCGTAGTGTAACTGCGCAACGCTTCTGTGTTGTACGTCACACGTAGGCTCACTATTGGCCGATGCTGGTCATGTGTGTGATGCGTGTGACGTACAACACAGAAGCGTTGCGCAGTTACACTACGCGAACTATCTCGAGGCCCACAGAGAAGGAAATTAATAGTTGAATAAAGTCGTTATTTTTGTTTGTTTTTTGCGCACAAAAAGTATTCTCGTCGCTTGATAAACTTAAGATTGAGCCACTGTAGTCACTTGGACTATTTTAACAATGTCTTTAACTTTTTTGGGCCGGCCAGTTTCGATCCCTTAAGAAGCCTATGGAGGAGTGATCCAGCTCTCAGATTTAATCAAAAATATCTTAATTTGTGTTCCGAAGATGAACGAAAGTCTTACGGGGTTGGAACAACATCAGGGTGAGTAATTACTGACAGAATTTTCTTTTTGGGGTGAACTATACCTTTAAAGAGGATCTGTGCACTCCAGACATTCAGTTAAGTCTCAAGCCGACCATCAGCTTCTTCCTGTTGCCATTCATACACACTACTGTTAAAAAGTTTAGGGTCTGTAAGATTTTTTCGATGCATTAAATGCTGTTCTTTTGAACATTCTATTCATATAATAAAAAATGTTTTGTGGTGCAGCAAATCAGCATATTAGAATGATTTCTGAAGGATCATGTGACACTAAAGACTGGAGAAATGATGGTGAAAAAAGCATCTTTGCCATCACAGGAATAAATTATATTTTAAAATACAATATATTAAAATAGTAAACAGTTATTTTAAATTATAATAATATTTCACAAATTGTTTTATTGTATTTTTCGATCAATTAAATGCAGCCATGGTCAGCATGAGACTTCTTTCAAAAACATAAAATAAAATCTCACTGACCCCAAACTTGTGAACGCTAATGCAAGTATCATTTGCTAAATCCAGATTTATCAAATAAAATGACTGATTGGTTTTAATCTTTTTCTGTCTCCCACACAGGTAAATCTATTTGTATTGCTGTCAGTGGTCTGTATCCTGCTAAACCTGGCTGGGTTCATCCTCTGCTGTCAGGGGGCTCAGCTGATCTCCAGTACCATTAACTGCCAGCTGGTGAGGAATCTGTGCACTTGGAAATGTGCTGTGCTTGAGATAATAACATTACAATGTCAAATGACTCATGTATTGATGATTGTATTCAAGAACCTAGATGCAAAATATAAATAGAATCACAAATTAAGGTGGGGTAACACTTAAAGGGATAGTTCACTTTGAAATTAATTTTTGATATGTTTTAGCTTACCTTAAGGCAGGGCTCCAGACTAACTTTTCCACTGGTTGCACTGGTGCTACCAACTTTCTCAGTTAGTCGCACCAGCATATGATTTGGTCGCACCTTTTTTTTTTTTTGGCTACATGCCATGGGATTAATCAATGCATGCTGATGAATAGTGGTTTTAATGGACCAAGGCTAGCAAAGGCTTTCTGGGTTGCAGCAGAAATACCTGTAATATATTAATTATCATTGCCAAATTTCAGGATTTTCATGGATTTTGGACAGTAATTTTAATCTGTAATTTTAAGCATTTTACATTTGAATTATATACAATCTATCTATTTACATTTGAATCATATTCTATCTATCTATCTATCTATCTATCTATCTATCTATCTATCTATCTATCTATCTATCTATCTATCTATCTATCTATCTATCTATCTATCTATCTATCTATCTATCTATTATCATCTTTCTATCTTTTAAAAATCATTAAACATTCAAATGTAGGCTATGCATTACATTTTAAAAGATTAGAGTATTATAATAAACTGATACAGATTTTTCGTTATCAAAGTTTATAGTTGTAACAAAAAGCAGAAATCTCACACTCCTTACCTTCTGCATTTTATAATAATTTCCTTTTCCTCTGTCGAGCGATCATGAGAGTAATCGCTCGACAGAGGAAAATATAACCGCTGAAAAGACGTAGGAGGAAGGGGCTCTGTGTTTCGTGAGACCATTTTTATCATTTTTATATGCCTTAATTCGTGAATTCGTAATTGGCGCGTTTCACCATCAGTGTGCAATGCGCGTGACGTCTACGTTCGTCAATAAATAAACTGCACGTGTCTTGCGGAAGAACATTGTAGACGGAACTTCTCTCCGTTAATGTCTATGGCGAGTCACGCAGGCACTGGGCTACTCCGCAGCCGAGACGACCCCGGGATAAAATAGTCCGAATATAAACACTTATTATAGGCGTACCGTAGTGATTCAGAATAAGTCAAAAACACGGTTTGGAAAATGGATTCATGATGTAGCCTACTCGTTCATTCTGAACATAAGTTACGGACTGCAGCAGCTGATACAACGGCGTTCTGTTGCTCAAGCGTCCACTCGCACAAATGCGACCACATAACATTTCATCTCGCACATTCTCAAAAAATGGTCGCATATGCGACCAATTTGGTCGCAGTCTGGAACCCTGCCTTAAGGGCATCCAAGATGTAGGTGTCTTTGTTTCCGCAGTAGTTTCAATTTTGATATTTTTAGGTCAAACCGTTCTTGTCTGTCAGTCATATAATGCAGGTCTATGGTCACCACCTCAAAGAGCATGCACAGAGAAGTCCAAATTAAATATGATTTAATGACTCGTAAATGTAAGTACACATTGATGGCCTAAGACACGAAAGGTAGGTAAAAAGGAAGGTAAAAACGATATAAATACTGTTCGGTTTCTCACACAAACCGCTCGTTTCGTGTCTTAGGCCATCAATGTGTACTTACATTTACGAGTCATTAAATCATGTTTAATTTGGACTTCTCTGTGCATGCTCTTTGAGGTGGTGACCATAGACCTGCATTATATGACTGACAGACAAGAACGGTTTGACCTAAAAATATCAAAATTGAAACTACTGCGGAAACAAAGACACCTACATCTTGGATGCCCTTGAGGTAAGCTAAAACATATCAAAAATTAATTTCAAAGTGAACTATTCCTTTAAAGGCAGGGTAGGCAGTTTGTTTCTAAAACACTTTTTCCCAAATTTGTTTAAACTGTCTTTATATACCAATACATATCTAAAATGTAAGTACTCTGAAAAGCAGAGTATAAAAATCGAGTGTCTGTAGTCCTCTCAGGGCTGCAATAAACACAGCTACTCTTTCCATTCGGAACGAATGCAATGATTGGCTGGGCGACTGTCACTCTCCCTCGCTACCATGGCTACCACCCCTGCTGCTACAGGAGCTGCCCACATGCGCGCACCCGGTTGACTCGCTCATTTCGAAAGAGGAGAGGCACGTACCGGCCGGAAGCTAGGAAGTCTCACAATTATGGCAGAGAAAGAGCAGTCAAAATTCCCAGTACCACCTGTACCTGCATATACAGTCAGCGCAGGCAAACAAGGCAAAAAAAGGTGATGTCACTCCATGCACTGCGCTCCTCTCCGCTCGCCGCTGGTAAACGCGTCCTCCAGCTGAGCGGTCGGCATCACATGTTCATGTGTTTTGGGGGCGTGGCTTTGGAAGGAGCCCAGAAGGGAGGGGGTGGGAGTATCTCTGTTGGATACTTTCAAAATCCAACAGTTTTCTGCTAGTTTCTCAAACTTACCTACCCTGTCTTTAAGATACATTTATTAGGGCAACACAGAGCTACACAAACTATACTACATAAATTCATAAATAACATTTGTTGTAGTGTTACAGCAAAGAGGAATTAGTGTACTAAGCCTGCAACATTTGTGTTACAGACATGAAAGATAACTCAAATTGTGCAGAAAATTAGTATTCTGACTAGAATATCAGAGAGACTTGTGGCTAGGCTTTTTTTTTTTACTTAGACCAATTACATATTTGTAAACAACTACATAGCAACCACCTAGAACACCCTGGCAACCTCATTGCAAACACCGCACATCTGTACAGACCTGATTCAGACCATACATCTGTCATCTGTACTATGCGTATAGGACTGAAGTTTGTCCAAGTCAAAGAGAGCCCTGAAATTGAGTGTCAAAGCAGCTTTCCTTGAATTTGAATTAGGTTTGGGGCTGCTGTCATATCCAGGATAGGAAGGCTGTTCTTTTATCATTTCCACTTGTCATGAAAATGTCCCTGCCATATTAGTGAGCTCATATCTTTGAGCTGTTATCGCATGCAGATCAAAAGACTGTCAAATGTAGACAAGTGCCTGGAAACTTCATCCTAAGTCTCCTACATTGAATCCAAGCAGTTCTTTAAGTATTACTATATTATGTCATCAGACATCAATGAGAAACGAACATAATAAATTTGTTTCTGTGTTTCAGAGTGAGCAGGGCGATCTCTGTTACTGTTGTGCAGAAACACCAAGCGCACAGTGCAAAGAGGACAAGTTGATTAAGATCTACGCAGGTCATGCATGTGGCACAATGAGAATCCTGCTCAAGGTGTGTGTTCATCTTTGTAAATTATTTTTAAGTATTCAAATATTATTACACTACTACTTGGTAGACAGACAGACAGACAGATAGATAGATAGATAGATAGATAGATAGATAGATAGATAGATAGATAGATATACACTGATTAGCCACTTTATTAGGTACACCTTGCCAACCCGCGGAAGGCGGCCGGCCCTGATGGCGTCTGCGGACGCGTACTAAGGGACTGTGCGGACCAGCTGGTGGGGGTCTTTACTAAGATCTTCAACCAGTCACTATCCTAGCAAACTGTCCCATCCTGCCTGAAGTCCTCCATCATTGTTCCCCTGCCTAAAAAAACAAACTTCACTACCCTCAACGACTACCGGCCAGTAGCACTCACTCCTGTGGTGATGAAGTGCTTTGAGAAACTGGTCCGTAGTCACATCATGTCATTTTATCCTCCCACCTTCGACACACACCAGTTTGCTTACAGGGCGAACAGATCGACTGAGGATGCTGTGGCTACAGCCCTCCATGCTGCACTGTCTCATCTGGAGCAGCAGGGGAGCTATGCCCGGTTACTCTTCATAGACTTCAGCTCTGCTTTTAACACCATCCTCCCCCACAGACTGGTGTCCAAACTGTCCAACATTGGAATACCACACTCCACCTGCCTCTGGATTAAGGACTTTCTGTCACATCGCACTCAGAGGGTAAGACTTGGTCCTCATACATCCACAGCCCTCAGGCTCAGCACTGGCTCCCCGCAGGGCTGTGTGCTGAGTCCCCTGCTCTATACCCTCTACACCCATGACTGCACCCCAGCTCATCACAGCAACACCTTTGTCAAATTTGCTGATGATATCACGGTAGGGGGGATGAGTCCAATTACAGAGACGAGGTGGAGAAATTGGTGGGGTGGTGCAGAGTTAACAACTTGCTCCTCAACACATCAAAGACCAAGGAGCTCATTGTGGACTTCAGGAGGAAGAAAACGGTTATCCAGCCGCTGTTCATAGGCGGAGCCTGTGTAGAGAGGGTCTCTGACTTACGTTTCCTGGGAGTCAACATCATGGAGGACCTGACCTGCACTGTCCACACCACTGAGGTAGTGAAGAAGGCACAGCAGAGACTCTACTTCCTAAGAGTTCTCAGGAGGAACAACATCCCCAAAAAACTACTGGTGTCCTTCTATCGCTGCTCAATTGAGAGCATCCTGTCATACTGTCTCTGTGTGTGGTTTCCATGCTGCACTGTGGCACAGAGGAAAAAGCGCCAGGGTGTCATAAAGGCAGCACAGCAGGGCTCCAGACTAACTTTTTGCCTTGGTTGCACTGGTGCGCCTAACTTTTTTATTTAGGTGCACCAGCACAAAATTTAGGTGCACTCAAATTTTTCCTCGTCTCGCGTCGCCTTTAACGCCACAATTTCAAGGTCACCTTTTTATCACACTCCATATATTCATATATATTATGTAAATGCTTTTAAACAAGAATAAGGTGTAGTTTTTTTTTTTTTTTTTGAAGCACAATTATACTGTACATAAAAATATAAATCTTTAAAAAAAAATTAAAGTGCTGTTTTTACATTGTTCAAGTTAGGGCAGGGTATTGACACAAATTTCACAATTCGATTCAATATTGATTATTTTGGATATCAGGTACAATACATGGCAAATTTTCTCAAGAAAAACAAATCTCAACTAATGCTGTAAACTGGGAGTCAGTTGTAGCCTACTATGCTTCATTAGCCTACTATAATATTGAAGGTAAAAATTACCTGATTTGTACACAAACACCTAAATTACACTATTATTATTTTTTTAATAATAATAAAGTTATATGAAATATAAACATTTAAATGGTGGCTGCATAAAAACTTGCCAGATTTTTTTCAAACAACATGCAGTAAATATTGAAAAACATAAAAAATTATAATGAATATGTAATATGGTCCATATATTAGGCACAATGCTCCTCTAGAGTTAATTTTTCTAGCTAGCTAACGAGTTTATGGGCACTGGATATGTTTTTTCTGAGGTAAATGTGACGTTACATGACATTGTTTACAAGCGTTTTACTGACGTCTTTCCACGGTTGAAACACTGATTGAGCGATTCCATGTGAAAGATACGGATTTCGATAAGTTGTACTCTATCTTTTAACACACTTTCAGATGCTCGTTCATGTTTATTTCGCGCTGTAACTGGTATTATTAAGGCGGAAGAGAAAATCATGCTTCTCTTGAGCAGAACCAGAGCGATCTCACGCCACAGCGTCAATACACTATTATATTTATGTTTTTGAATTTCGTAAAAAAATGGACCTAATTTGAAATCTGAGACTTTGTTTCATATCAATAGTAACAAAGCACAAAGATTATTGCGATTTATTGGATGGGATGCTCGCTACAATGTTCCATTCATTCATCAACTGAAAACAGCATAGCCCAACGTTTCGTAAAAATCAACGAGAATCGATTAAAATCGAGAAATTTACCTAGTTCAAGTAGCCTACATTTTTAAAAGTTTCGTCTGTTTTCCTGCGTTTATTTAGCTGATGCTGCTGATTGCCGTAACTGATTCTCTGGTGCTCAGGTGACAGGTCGCAATTTATTTCAATCACACAGCACGGAGCATTTTAGTCCTACAGGAACATCTGAACCACAACCAATCAGAGGCAAAGACCCGCCCAATCTCTATCTCTGATTGGTTTAGACCACGATATGATCCAACCATGCGTGCAAGGAGAACAAAATACTCGTTTGTGGAGAGGCAACGGATGCGATCATGCGAGAACGTTAGGTGCACTGGTGCGACCTAGGAAAATTTCTTGTCGCACCCTTACAAATTTTGGTCGCATGTGCGACCAAAATGGTCGCACTCTAGAGCCCTGCACAGAAAATCACTGGTTCCCCCCTCCCCACTCTGGAAGAACTTCACAGCTCTCGCTGCATCAAAAAGGCCAAAACCATCATACAGGACTCATCACACCCTGGTCATACACTGTTCAGACTACTGCCGTCAGGCAGGAGATATAGGTCCATGAAAACAAGAACAAATAGACTACAAAACAGCTTTTATCCAACAGCCATAAGTGCATTAAATAATGCTGCTAAATGATAGTCCCCACCACTGATTGGTGTCAAAAGGGTCATGTGCAATTTTTATTTATTTATTTATTTATTTATTTATTTATTTTTTTTAAATGTGAATGTCTGCTTGGGTGTGTCTCCTATGTGTTTTTAGTATTAATTTGTATGTAGTAGCAGTATTTTAGTTGTTTTAGATGGTTGGTACCTGACAAGGACTGTACTTAATTTTGTTGTACTCGTTACAATGACAAATAAATATTCTAATATTCTATTCTAAATGTATGCGTGGCATACATTTAACAAGGTCCTGGAAACATTCCTCAGAGATTTTGGTCCATATTGACCTGATAGCCTCACACCATTGCTGCAGATTTGTCGGGTGCACATCCATGATGCGAATCTCCCATTCCACCACATCCTAAAGTTGCTCTATTGGATTGAGATCTGGTGACTGAGGAGTCAGTTCCAGTATAGTGAGCTCATTGTCATGTTCAAGAAACCCAGTGGAGATGATTTGAGCTTTGTGACATGGTGTGTTATCCTGCTGGAAGTAGCCATCAGAAGATGAAAACCCCAGTAGATCAGCAGTTTGTGAAGTACTCAGACCAGCCCGTCTGGCACCAACAACCATGGCACGTTCAAAGTCTCTTAAATTACCTTTCTTCCCCATTCTGATGCTCAGTTTGAACTTCAGCAGATCGTCTTGACCATGCCTACATGCCTAAATGCATTGAGTTTCTGCCATGTGATTTGCTGATTAGATATGTGTTAACAAGAAGTTGAACAGGTGTACCTAAAAAGTGTCTGGTGTGTGTATATAGAAGACAGATATAATATATAAGAGACGTCAAACAGGCATATAGGAAATCATTAATTTGGGAAATGGGAAATATGCAGTTTGGTATAATTAGGCCAGGTTAGGAAAATATTTGACTGCAGAATGCCATGACAGACCATAAAGTTTTCTCTCTTCCAGAAAGTGCTCTTTGCATTGTGTGCGCTGAATGCTCTGGCCACAGCTGTGTGTCTGGTTGCTGCTGCGCTCAGATATCTCCAGATCTTCTCAACCAGACGGCCCTGCATGGTGAGATAAATCATATTACAGAAAATATGAAGAAGAAAAAAATCTATAATATAATATAATTCTTGGTCAGTGTCTGGCATAGATTATTTAGACTGTTTAGACATGTTGTGTCAGATATTTCTAAGGCCTGGTCATGTGATTATGATGGTCTTTGGCAGGAAGAGGCCAGGCCTGTCCCAGAGGAAGTGGATGAGCAGACTCATCTTCCTGACCCAGACGAATTTGTAGCCCCTGCACCTCCTCCTTCATACTTCTCCACCTTCTACTCTTACACCCCTCGTCTGGCTCGGAGGTAAAATATGATTTAATTGAATTATTATTACTGAATCAACTTGACTGTGTTGGGTTTATTTTTTAATGACACATAAATTAATCTATACTTTTTATTTGATGAATTATACTACTTTTATTTTTTTTTTAAAAGAAAAAAAAAGTAAACGTTTGGATTAATCATAATTAAATATAAAACACATAATATATAATTTGCATAAGTAATATGAATAATGTACAACATACACTATCGTTCAAAAGTTTGGTAAGATTTATAATGTCCTTGAAAGAAGTCTCTTATCCTCAAAAAATCAATCTTAGGTGACAAATACACTACTATTCAAAAGTTAGTTATTCAAAAAATGTTTGAATAAAGTTTTTTACGTTCTGCATTTTGATCAAAAATACAGTAAAAACTGTAATTTTCTTAAATATTATTACAATTTCAAATAGCTGTTTTTTGTTTTAATATATTACATTTTAAAAAGTAATTTATTCCTGTGGTCAAAGCTGAATTTTCAGCACCATTACTCCAGTCTTCAGTGTCACATGATCCATCAGAAATCATTCTAATATGCTCAAGAAACATTTTTATTATTATCAATGTTGAAAACAGTTGTGCTGCTTATAATATTTTGTGGAAAGCCCTTTTTCAGGATTCTTTGATGAATAGAATGTTCAAAAGAACAGCATTTATTTCAAATAGAGTTTTGTAACATTATTATAAATATTTTTAGTGTCTCTTTTGATCAATTTAACGTGTCCTTGCTGAATATTAATTCCATTTAATAAACTTTTAAACGGTAATGTTTGTATATGTAAACTAATCAGGTGAAATATCTATTAAGGTAACATCTGCATAATTTCACTTTTTACAGTATACAGTAACAGTATGATAAAATCTTTCAAGCATTCCTTGATCCTGCTGAAGTATTAGTGTCACACACACACACACACAGTCGCACAGACATGCACTTTGATCTTGAATTCTTAACCAAAAATACAGCAGGATTTATCAGATTTGTTAGTGGGTGGCTCAGTGTTTGGCAGGCAACCAAAATATTTTGGCAACCTAAAACAGGATTAAAGTTTGTGTGTGGGAAAGCATGATATACTCCTGTTTCATTGGATGTCCTGATCAAAGACTAATGGGTGTATATCTTCAATGTTATATATTATACTGTCGTTATATTTTCTCATGGCTTGTTTACAGTGTAAATGTGTGTGTTTTGACAGGATGTTTGGTGACGGTATGATTCCTCTTCCTCATATATACGGTGCCAGAATTAAAGGAGTGGAGGTGTTCTGTCCTCTAGACCCTCCTCCACCTTATGAAGCTGTTGCACCGCAGCCAGCAGCTCAGGTACTGATTCATATAGTGATCATATGCCATCTGCTATCGCATAATCATCTCTGTGATGAAAGTCAAAGGGCAGTTAGCATTTACAGCATTTATTCATGATAGCATTTCAACTCTGTGAAGTAGACCTTACTGACCTCATTTCAGCAAACATGGCACCATGTCCTGGTCCTGCAGGCTTACATTGGCAACAGCTCAATCAAATACAGTCCTTGTCCGCTCACTGACCTTCTGTATTTATATCAGGCCCAGAATACTGAGGTGCAAATGACCGATCTGACCGAGGTCCTCACAGAGAGTGCAGAGACGGAGACGCCCAGTGATGGTATGAACTAGTTGTATTTTTGCATATAGACTTGTTGAGAGGAGCAGTATAGATAAACATTGACATTACAGACTTAAAGGGTTAGTTCACCCAAAAATGAAAATTAACCCATGATTTACTCACCCTCAAGTCATCCTAGGTCCATATGACATTCTTCTTTCAGACGAATACAATACGGAGTTATATTAAAAACTGTCCTGGCTCTTCCCAGCTTTATAGTGGGAGTGAATGGCTGTTTCTGTTTTGTAGTCCATAAAAGTGCATCTATCCATCATAAAAGTGCTCCATACGGCTCCGGGGGGTTAATAAAGGCCTTCTGAAGTGAAGCGATGCAGAAAAATATTCATATTTAACATGTTACAAAGTAAAATTCTAGCTTCCGGCCAAACGAACATATGTAGTCTACTTACACCTAAAGCGCAACTTGTGACGTTGGAAGTAACGTAGTGCGTTATGGCGTAGCGTAAATATCAGCAGTACGTCGCATTACATGCGCTTAGACAAAAAGTCGAATCCGTTTGTTCGTTTGGCCGGAAGCTAGTTATTTTACTTTATAAAGTTTTAAACATGAATATTTTTCTATATATATACACTCACCTAAAGGATTATTAGGAACACCTGTTCAATTTCTCATTAATGCAATTATCTAATCAACCAATCACATGGCAGTTGCTTCAATGCATTTAGGGGTGTGGTCCTGGTCAAGACAATGTCCTGAACTCCAAACTGAATGTCAGAATGGGAAAGAAAGGTGATTTGAGCGTGGCATGGTTGTTGGTGCCAGACGGGCCGGTCTGAGTATTTTACAATCTGCTCAGTTACTGGGATTTTCACGCACAACCATTTCTAGGGTTTACAAAGAATGGTGTGAAAAGGGAAAAACATCCAGTATGCGGCAGTCCTGTGGGCGAAAATGCCTTGTTGATGCTAGAGGTCAGAGGAGAATGGGCCGACTGATTCAAGCTGATAGAAGAGCAACTTTGACTGAAATAACCACTCGTTACAACCGAGGTATGCAGCAAAGCATTTGTGAAGCCACAACACGCACAACCTTGAGGCGGATGGGCTACAACAGCAGAAGACCCCACCGGGTACCACTCATCTCCAATACAAATAGGAAAAAGAGGCTACAATTTGCAAGAGCACACCAAAATTGGACAGTTGAAGACTGGAAAAATGTTGCCTGGTCTGATGAGTCTCGATTTCTGTTGAGACATTCAGATGGTAGAGTCAGAATTTGGCGTAAACAGAATGAGAACATGGATCCATCATGCCTTGTTACTAGGGATGCACCGAATATTCGGCCACCGAAAATTTTCGGCCGAAAATGGCCCAAAAGTGCATTTTCGGTTTTCGGCCGAAAGACTTTTATCACCGAAACAATACGGCCGAAATGTTGTGATGACGCAAACAGAAACCGCGACCTGCACGTGCTTGTCTGAAGCAACATGTCTGCGGTGTGGACGTATTTCAGTATATCGCGAGGAGACGGAAGCCTTGTTTATACTTTCGCCTGGCTCCGCAGAGCGAGTCTCCACAGACAGCGCGCGCACCTCTCCAAACGGTCGAGGCGTTTATACTTGACGCGCTCGCCGTTGCACTATTCTTTGAAACGACAGGAGACGACTCAAGTAACTGTCCTCTAACCATCACGAATCGGTGAGAAGAAAGATAAACACGTGACAATGTTTATTTTTTAGTATACCACCACCAATACAAAAATAATTATGTAAAACCCAGTAAACCCTGAGATTATTAGGCTACTTGTGACATTACAAAAAAATATGTATATGGGAACATGTATGTATACAACTAAATTAACGCTCTCTTAAATATTTTCTAATTTCACTAAACATATTTCATTAAGTTTCGTGTACATTTGTATTAAACCTGGACCTTTGTTCATTAAAAAAGGCTTTTTATGCTATTGTATGCTCATTTTTTAAAATGTAAGCAACTAATTTAGACGTGCAAACTGGGTGCTGGTGTGATGAGAAGTTCGTGCTCGGCTTTGTTTTTATGAGAGAAGAACATTTAATTTTAAAACCTTTCTGCAGGCCAGTAGATTATTATTTAATGTACACATGAGTGGGGTCAAGTTAAACATTTTAGTTAGAATTTTATTTTATACTGTGCATTGTTGCAATGTGCTAAATAAATATTTGCATAATTTGTAATTGATTTATTCTTTGAAAATGTTATATTAATTTATGCAATTGCAATGCCTTGATTTTAGTAAAGTTTGTACACAGTCATAGCCATAAATGCAATGGTACTAATAATTGGCATAATTTCTTTCGGTGTTTCGGTTTTCGGTTTTCGGCCTTGGTTTCCTCTTTTTCGGTTTTCAGTTTCGGCCAAGAATTTTCAGTTCGGTGCATCCCTACTTGTTACCACTGTGCAGGCTGGTGGTGGTGGTGTAATGGTGTGGGGGATGTTTTCTTGGCACACTTTAGGCCCCTTAGTGCCAATTGGGCATCGTTTAAATGCCACGGCCTACCTGAGCATTGTTTCTGACCATGTCCATTCCTTTATGGCCACCATGTACCCATCCTCTGATGGCTACTTCCAGCAGGATAATGCACCATGTCACAAAGCTCGAATCATTTCAAATTGGTTTCTTGAACATGACAATGAGTTCACTGTACTAAAATGGCCCCACAGTCACCAGATCTCAACCCAATAGAGCATCTTTGGGATGTGGTGGAACGGGAGCTTCGTGCCCTGGATGTGCATCCCACAAATCTCCATCAACTGCAAGATGCTATCCTATCAATATGGGCCAACATTTCTAAAGAATGCTTTCAGCACCTTGTTGAATCAATGCCACGTAGAATTAAAGGGTTAGTTCACCCAAAAATGAAAATTCTGTCAGTATTTACTCACCCTCATGTTGTTCCAACCCCGTAAGACCTTCGTTCATCTTCGGAACACGAATTAAGATATTTTTGATGAAATCTGAGAGCTGGATCACTCCTCCATACTAGTCCATAGGCTTCTTTAGAGATTGAACTTGCCGGCCTCGAAAAGTTATTAAAGACATCGTTAAAATAGTCCAAGTGACTACAGTGGCTCAATCTTAAGTTTATCAAGCGACGAGAATACTTTTTGTGCGCAAAAACAAACAAAAATAACGACTTTATTTCAACTATTCATTTCCTTCTCTTTGGGCCTCTAGTCAGTTAACGTAGTGTGATTCCGTAGAGCTACGTCACACGTAGGCTCACTATTGGCCAATGCTGGTCATGTGCGTGATGCATGTGACGTACAACAACAGAAGCTTACGCTATTACACTAGTGAACTGACTCGAGGCCCACAGAGAAGGAAATTAATAGTTGAAATAAAGTCGTTATTTTTGTTTTTTTTTTGCGTACAAAAAGTATTCTCGTCGCTTGATAAACTTAAGATTGAGCCACTGTAGTCACTTGGACTATTTTAACGATGTCTTTAATAACTTTTCGAGGCCGGCAAGTTCAATCCCTGAAGAAGCCTATGGACTAGTATGGAGGAGTGATCCAGCTCTCAGATTTCATCAAAAATATCTTAATTCGTGTTCCGAAGATGAACGAAGGTCTTACGGGGTTGGAACAACATGAGGGTGAGTAATTACTGACAGAATTTTCATTTTTGGGTGAACTAACCCTTTCAGGCAGTTCTGAAGGCGAAAGGGGGTCAAACATAGTATTAGTATGGTGTTCCTAATAATCCTTTAGGTGAGTGTATGTATATATATATATATATATATATATATATATATACAGTATAATATATATACACAAACGCAGTGGCGTAGGTTTGATTTTGAAATTGGTGGGGACGGGGACATCAATATAAATATATTTTAAGTTTTGATCGAAATTATTGCTAGGGATATATCAGTGTCACTGGATATTGGTAGGGACACGTCCCTAGTGTCCCTACTAAATTCTACGCCCCTGCACAAACGCATCGCTTCACTTCAGAAGGCCTTTATTAAGGCCGTGTGGAGCACTTTTATGATGGATAGATGCACTTTTATGGGCATCAAAACAGAAACAGCCATTCACTGCCATTATAAAGCCTGGAAGAGCCAGGACATTTTATTTTTTAATTTATATCTCCGGTTGTATTCGTCTGAAAGAAAAATTTCATACACACCTAGGATGACTTGAGGGTGAGTAAATCATGGGCTAATTTTCATTTTTGGGTGAACTATCCCTTTAAGGACCACACCAAGGACGATGACTATAACAATAATGTTAAAGATATAGTTCTAAAAATCGTTCTAAATGTAAAAGAATAGCAGAGTCCACACCACAACTATAACGATAATGGGACAGAGAAACAATATAATTGAAAGCACTTTCAGAATTATTTTTTCCAGCTGATAAATGATAAAAACATTGACAGCCTTTTAGAATCCATCCTGACCATTTAAAGCGACAGACAACAAAACTGAGGAACTAATATAGTTATAGTTATCTTATAGTTATAATTATAGTTGTCGTTCATGGTGTGAACGGGCCTTCACAGTTGTCTCTGAACATTAAACCATGGCATGTGAAAGCATTTTAACATAGAACAAAAGACAGTTCACCTTTTAAAACATTGCAAGTTAGGTGTAATGGTGTTATAATCAACAAATAGAAAATTCCCTTTTAAAAATCTGGAGCTGCTACGTGAAGGTGTTATTGATACCGCTTCTATGAATCCAGTGCCTCTGGTACTCTATATTTAATCAAGATGCTCACAGCGTATCACAGTACCAGTCCATAATTATGTCATCTGTGTATTAAAGGAAATGTATTTTAGTGGCGTCAGTTGTATGTCCAGTGTTCCTCGGTGAGGGATCTATTTTTCTTTTTATAGCTGTCTGTATCCTTCAACACATTCAAAGATAGCACGACATGTTTTTAATGATCCTCCACAGGTTACTATTCAGATGGGGGCCACTTTTCAAAATGTTCTAATTTCACACAGAATTTTTTATCACCAATTATATTATCAGCATAACAATTTGAAACGTAATTGAATTGAAAAATGAAGATGAATTTGGTTTAATGACAGCAGAACCTGAACTGCATGATCTTCACATGTTTGTCATTTCCAGATTTAAAAGGGAATTAAAAAAATAATAATATTTTTTTATTCAGCAAGGATGCATTCAATTGACCAAAAGTGATTTTTATATCAAATAAATGCTGTTCTTTTGTACTTTCAATTCATCAATTCTGATTCATCATGCGACTTAAGACTGGAGTAATGGCTGCTGAAAATTCAGCTTTGCATCACAGGAATAAATTACATTTTATAATACATTTAAAAAAATAAAAAATAAATGTTAATTGTAATATTTTTTTCACAATATTACTGGGTTTTTTTTTACTGTTTTTTTTTATCAAATAAATGCAGCCTTGGTAAGCATAAGAGACTTCTTTCAAAAAATATTAAGATAGATTGGTAGATTTTAGATATTGTTATTTGTTATGAAGTAACATGATGTTACATCTCTTGATTTCGACAGCACAACTCTTAAAATGGTCTCTGGTAGACTTTATAGACTAGGTTTGTTTTGGCCAGATTCCTCTTTTGATGGATTTGACCAAGCAGTTGCTGACACAGGACAAACATAAAGAAAAACAAGAAAGACTTCAGAACAAATTATGTTTCTTTATGTAGTTTGTTTGCATGTTTTATTCAGACCAGAGCTGTCAGACGGCCATATTGAGCCCCACCCCGCCGAGACAGTCCTCACCACACCCTCACAGCACAGTCTCCAACAGCCGAAAACCCCACAGACCTCGCCTCCGCAGGTCCAACAGCGACCCCGTCCTGCTAGACCTGACCGCCAAAGGTAAGGGAAGGAATCCTCAAAATGGTCTGGTTGGTCAATTGCGACAGTCTAGTCTGATATAAATGCAGTAGTCAACATTTGAAGTGGATCAAAACCCTTTCATCAAAGTTATACATGAATTTTGAACCAATACCCGTTCTTGTCTTTGGACAACTTTGATTAACTTTTTTGATCCACTTCAAATGTTGACTACGTAATATATATTTTACCTAAGCAAAATTAGATATTAAAAACAAGATATTAAAACTTTATTTTAGGAGATATGTTCTTGTCAGGGTGCTGATATGTTCTTGTAGCGTACAAGCAGAGTTGTCTTGTTTTAAGCCTAAATCTACATAAAATAATTTTTCCATAAAAGGTCGAAGAGCAGACACTGACACAATTCTTTATAATTAGTTTATGAACACTGGCTTCTCTCCAATTACAGATGGAGGTTTCTTTTTACTTGGTGTGTGTATCCAAAGCAGAGAACTGGTCTGATAGTAAATCTAGAGGAACTATACCTGTCAGTGGTTACTTTAAGCCCTTTTTTAAATATAGGACTCTCAGTGTTACTGATGAGGGGGAGCAGAGGGCGATTAAATACACGGCCATAAATTGACTCCATTTCTTCAAGTTTTTTCTTCAAGAAATCTCTCTCACACACACTAGTGAAACCTTCTCTTATGTCTATCTGATGTAGGATTAACGGTTTATGTAGTGTTTATGCTTTTCCAAGTCCTGTACAACTGAAAACTGAAACTGGTCTTGGCCGTTATACCAACACCAACTGGCTTAGGTGGATACATTTCTGTTTAACTTGGTCAAATAGAGCGGTTCAGTTTCTTGTCCTAAACGCTATAAGAGAATTATGATGTTTGAGCCATGGGCTTCCTCAGTGATTTTGAATGTGTTTTTGAAATAACAGTTTTTAATTTATGAGTACAGAATAGCCTGTGGCTAGTTAAAATTACTCGAAGAGACTTTGATGCTTTGTCCTACTACTGAAATTACACACATTCTCAGCTTAAATGTGAATATTCAGGATTCCCTGCGCTTTCAGGCAAAATAAAAGCTTGATGGTTTAATGTTCGAAAATTACGATAAATATTCGTATTTTAACGATGTGTGTTTTTTTCATGCATCTGTCAATTTTGAGATTTTGGGCTTTTTGGCTTTTCATAAAGTGTTTTTTTCAGACTAGTGGAAAGAAAACGTCCAAAAATACACTTTTACCAGTATCTTTTAGATCACTTTATCTATTTGTGTGTAATTTCAATTACAGTATATATCTTTAAAGGCCGTTTTCTCAAAATGATTTATTCCTCCTACACTGCCTGAAATCTCTACTTCAGTAGCACTTATATACACCAAACTTTACAGTTTTATTCTTATCTTTATTCTGAAGGTTTTTACAGAGGGGTTTGTTCATATATAGGTTTCCTGATTTTATAAAAAAAAATGTATTCCTAAAAAAATTGTGAAAATGTATTTATTTTTGGCTGTTGACAGTAATAGTGATAAATAGAGATATCCAAAATCCCCTCTGTAAAAACCTTTGACTCTAATAATATATATAAAAAAATAAACAAGTATTTTGAACCTGACTTCATCCAATGTTCAGATTTTTGTTATAGACATTTATGCAAATTAGTGCATATTAAATAAGTAATGCCTCATTTGCATATTTAAACATAACATTTCAGAAAACTTGTAATACAATTTGTTTTGCAATTATTAATGTAATCAATCAACTCGTGAAGTATGGTGGTATCTATTAGTTATTTTTTTTACCCTATTCACCTGGGGGTGCCTTAAATAATATTTTTATTGAATAATAATACTTAACAATATTAAATAATTAGTTACATGAATGTAAATAGGAATCTAATAGTAACATACATAATAATAATAATAATATATTGATGATAATAATAATAATATATTATTAATATATAATATGTCTTATTAATATAAAATAAAAAATGTTGGCCGCACAACAAACAAGTATAGCATTTTTGTGTAAAAAATTGCAATTAGATTTCCACCCTCTAATTGTGTGGCTCTGCTTGAAAGCATTGTGTGCTTTAAAAAAGTGAAATGAGTTTATCTCCAATGAGTGTACATAGTTGTACACATATTTGTCAAAAACATGGAGGGGTAAATATGTCATTGTGATATTGGTATATCTCTCTCTCTCATAGTAATGAGTTGTGAAGCCGCTACACAGACAGAATTAGGCCTGGCGTCAGCGACAGGAACGGAGCATGGGACGGTTACGCTACGACGGGGCCGTGGCAAACGGAAGCCTCGTCCCAACTCCATGGTGGACTACCAGAACTATAGAGACACAAAACTGCTGGTGGCACGTTTTCTGGAGCAGTCGTCATGCAGCTTGACCCCTGAGGTACAGGAGCTGGTCAACAGCATCAAAACCGTGCTGCGCTCTGATGAGGAACACATGGAGGAGGCCGTTCGCTGTGCCAGCTTCATCGACCAGGCAAGACACAAAAAAACGCATAGTATTGCTTAGAGCACGTGCTCTGACACATTTAGCTTTGGTGCTCAAGTGGGCGATCCAGCTCGTGACATTTTAACAGGGATAGTTTCATAGATTGTCATCATTTACTCTTTTTACTCATACTCAGTTTTTCCAAACCTGTATAAGTTTCTTTCTTCTGCTGAACACAAAAGAAGATGTTTTGAAGAATATGGGTAACCAAATAGTTGATGAGCCCCACTGACTTCCATAGTAGGAAAAAAAATACTATGGAAGTCAATGGGGCCCATCAAAATGTTGAGTAAATGATGACAGAATTTTCATTTTTGGGTGAACTATCTCTTTAACCCTGTAAAGCCTGACATATGAAATAGTTGGAACAGTTTATTTGACCTTTAGACAAAATCAAAAAAGTATCATATTTGATACATCAGGCTATTAGGCTCATATAATACAGGTGAATATGGAGCTCATACTTGAGTAAGGGAAAACACCTCTATGAGTCCCAAACTGAGCAAAAATATGCAATTTGGTGCAGTTGCTGATATTTCTATAGCCAAAAAGTAAGATGAAATTCTGATTGCTTATAATGTAAATCAATGAGATCTTTATAACAGTACAGCATTAGCAGACTACCTACATAATGCATATAAATACAATTTGTACTCTATATCTCCCAATAATATGTCTTGTAAGATGATATTTAACTGATTTAGTTTTAAGCTCTTTAGTTTTAACTATGGGGGCAAAACATATAATTCATACAACAACGATTGAGAAATGTTCAAATAAACATTCCTCAATGTATCATATTTGATACTCACATTGATTTTTCTAAATAATTATGTGTGGATAATCTAGTTGCTTCAGTCCAGTAAGTGTTTATCTTGAAATATTGCTAACAATATAAAAGTATTTACATTTAATTTATAAAAAACAGTAAAGATTTCACGGCAAAGCGGCACAATCTGACGGGGGATGTTTTTACAGTTATATTAAAAGGCCTTTTACTTGCTAAAAAGTACAAACTATCAATCTGACGACAGAAGGCATGAAGTAGATTTTGTACAACATGTTTTATTAGCAATGTTTTGATCATTTGAAATTAGCATATCTTATATAATACAGTAGGTTTTATAAGATGAATATCCCATTCAGCCATTTTTGTTCCTATAATTTCCTGTCCTCTAAGAGATCATGTTCATTAATGTTTCCAGGCCATCACAGTTTCAGAGGTTGCACCAGCTCAATCGGCGCAGACGGAGCTCCCATCCAACACGCTGCCGCTGCGCAAACGTCCGGGCGTCCTTCACCTGCGCAGCTGTGGCGATCTCAGCTCCTTCACCTGCGCACAGCTCACAGGCACCCGTTCTCGGACTAATTCCAGGATGAGTTCTCGGGCAGGATCCCGCCGCCTGGAACAGGAACGCCCACACAGCCTTATAGGAGTCTTCCGAGAAACTGTCCTCTGAGCGACGTCTCAAACAGACTGGATATGCGCGGAAAGCGAGGAAACAGACTCTGTCCCAGTCGGGTGAAGGTATGGTGAACACCACAACGTGACGGAAGCTAAGCTTTGTATAGAGTACAGATGATTTCACTTCATTTTCTGTTTTTGTTTGTCAGTGTGTATACTGAATATTATTCATTTTTAATTTTAGTTGGAATTCCAGCTGTTGCTTGTTTTTATTTTTTCACATGATTATAATAAAACACTGGGGGAAAAAAAAAAAAATGTTTATTTACCAAATGTCCATGTTCCTTATTTAAAAATGATTTAAAAATAGACTATGTGAAAAATACAATAATCATTATATTAAGAGAAACATTAAAATAGTATGGCTATATTTAGCTTAATGTGATGTGGAGAATTACTCAATGCTAATTAAATCAGCATATTGTGAGATAGAGAGAATGAATTTGAAACTTTTTATTTTATTTTATTTGACCATTCTGAACAATATTATTATTTCGGTCATACTTTAGTTTAGGGTTCAGTTCTCACTATTAACTATGACTTTTGCCTCAGTAAACTCCTAATTACTGCTTATTAATAGTAAGGTAGTTGTTAAGTTTAGGTATTGGGTAGGATTAAGGGGATAAGGCATTTAAAATGTGCTTTATAAGTACCAATAAACAGCCAATATCCTAGTAACATGCATGCTAATAAGCAACTATAGTTAATAGTGAGAATTGGACCATAAACTAAAATGTAATGAGATGTTCTCAGAGATGGATTGTGCATTATTACTGAAAATGAGGAGGCTCATCTGAATATGGGTGAAACATGCTATCCAAATTCCTCCTGAATTAAACATGGTTTTAAAATCATCTGCCTTTTGTCTGGGTTTTTTATTCAATTGACATTACGAGAGTGTAGAATAAACTTTAGTTACACTTTATTTTAAGGTGACAGTTACATCATTGCTCAAATAAGTACTGAGTATTAATTAACTACATGTACTTCCCATAGAGTTACGGTTAGGATTTGGTTTAGGGTTAGTTACTTGTAATTATGCATCATTTACTGTTATTTTTATAGAATATGTAGTAACGTGTAACTACGTCACCTTAAAATAAAGTGTTACCTAAACTTCTCTAATTATACGCTGCCGTTTATAAGTTTCGGGTCAGTAAGATTTTTGGTTACGCTGTGTCAGTATTACAGTGTAATTATACATTTAAGTACTGAGTAATAATAATTTACTACATGTACTGACTATAAGGTTAGGATGAGGGTTTGGTTTCGGGTTAGTTGCATGTAATTATGCATAATTTATTTATTACTACAGTAACTACATGTAACGTGTAACAATGACACTAAAATAAAGTGTTACCAGATAAAAAAAAGAAAAGAAATTAATAGTTTTACTCAGTAAGGATGCATTAAATCGATCAAAAGTGAAAGAAAAGAAATGTATAATGTTATAAAAGTTTTATATTTCAAATAAATGACGTACTATTCATCAAAGAATCCTAAAAACTTTCACAAAAATGTTAAGCAGCACAAATGTTATCAACATTGATAATAATAAGAAATGTTTCTTGAGCATCAAATCAGCATATTATAATGATTTCTGACGAATTTTGTGACGCTGAAGACTGGAGTAACGATGCTGAAAATTCAGCTTTGCCTTCACAGGAATAAATTACATTTTCAAATATATTAAAAGAGAAAACAGTTCTGTTAAATTGTAATAATATTTCACAGTATTACTGTGTTTTTTTTATCAAATAAATGCAGCCTTGGTGAGCATAAGAACAGGAAACAGGGAAAAAAACTTACCGACCCCAAACTTTTGAACAGTAGTGTGTATTTGAGCACATTACACAGCACACTTGGGGTAAATACACAACAGCTACCGTTTTGGATGATGACCAGGACCAGTAACTGAAAATCATGCTGACCGTGTGTGAGACGAAAGAGACATTCTAGTAATATACACTCTCAGTAGTTGGTTTAATAGTGTAAATACTGTTACAAACATTCCTGCTATGGTAAAGGAATGTGTCTAAATAGTTCAATCACAGAGAAGCTAGCAAATAAATAAACTTTGCTATCGCTTTACAGAAAGTGTGTTTTTACTTTTAGACAGTGACAAACATATAATTGTAATTACATTCAGAGCAAGTGCATTATAAATACTAATCAAACCCACAGTTTCTTTTCTACTTCAGTACGAACCACACACTCTGCTGAGGCCTTGCATTCTACAGTCTTGAGGTGGGAATCCGTCCAATACTCTGCAAATCCAGGGTTACATATTATGTACACTGATATTTCATACCTGGTGTCATTAATAACACATTAAGCCACTTGTTTTGCTTCTCCATTATTAAATAATTAAATCCATCCCTCATTAAAGCGTGTACATTATTCTGAGGTGGACACAGAATACTGTATAGTGCAGAAGTCTGGGACACTAGGTTGATGCGTTAATATTACAGCTCAAAAAACGTAACCGTCTAAACTGTCACTGTTTCATTTCGGTGTAAAACTGGACAACATCTCATACAATAAATATGGGAAGATGCTATGGTGGTAGCAGACCAATTACATTATTATGGCAAAAGTTAGTGTTATTCAGCCTGCGGATTTCAATCATGACGCGATGATGCCCCTTAAAAATAACATATTAAATAGTAGAACACTGGTGTCAAAGACTTTTGCAGTTTACTTTCATTATTGTACACATGGTATATATTCATTGGATATACTGTATATATTATGTAAATAAATATAATATTATATATATATATGAAAGTGTCTAGCTGGCTTTATTTGATGATGACGAAGTCATTTGTAATCACACATCACACTCACTACAAGAATAAATAGCAATGCATACAAAAAGATCATGCTTCACACACACACACACACACACAAAAAAACAATAAAACATGAGGCCCTTCCTCTGTGTTAATGACTTTTGATTCAATTAGTAAAATAATACAGTGCTAATGAGGTCATATTGTGGGGTGAAATTCACATTTTAAGCAACAAGAAGTATAATTTCTTATCAGCGCCACAATTACAGGGAGCTTGGTAACATCTGAAAGAGCCAGAATACCATCAAATACAGTCGTCGCAGAGAAATAAGATTCCTCGCAATATTTCTAGTATCAATACAGATTCAACTGCAGAAATGTCATCAGATTGTGATATAATATACATTGCTGTAACAATCATTTGATGGTAAAAGATACAAATGTGTGAGTGTGTTCTCAAAAGAGTTCCAGGCAACACGCAAGTACTCTTACTGGTAAAATATGGGGAGAGTGGTTAGAGTGGAGAGTGGGGAGAAAGGCTTCTTGTAAGACATTTTCTGCTTGTTTTTTCTTCAGACGCAAAATCAGATATAGTGATATTTGCCAGACTTCAGACAGTCTCTAATAAGAAATAGCATGCTGAGGTTCTTGCACAGATGGTACTATAATGTTTGTCTGAGAGGGCAAATCTCTGGAAACACAGTCAGTTTTCAATCGGTTCGTGTTGAGATGCTCTATACTAAAACAGTATACTGGATACTGAGTCATACACACTTGCAAATCCAGCTCAAATGTACCAGATTTAAGCTTTCTGAGAGCGAATACACTTAAGACACATTCTGTTCTTGAGTGAAAAAACAAACAAACCACTAAGTGGAAAAAGTAGCACACATGAATTAAACATTTAGTTCATAAAAAAAAAGACCGTAATGAAAAAAATCCATCCTGAAAATGTCAACACAAACTTTTTTTTCCAAGTATAAATGTTTAAAAGAAAATGCTACTAATATGGGCATATTTAATTTGCAATATTATTTCATTTACAGATGCTTAAGACAAAAAGGAAGGCTTTCTGTGCATAAAAATAAGGAATGGATTCATTTACAACAACAAAAAATATTGCACATCAATAAAAAAAAAAAAATAAAAAAAAATCCAGTAAAACACAATGGTTAATTTTTAGGACACTTTCCCCTGACTGTAATATATGTGTGTTTATTTAAAGAGGTTGTCCAAAACGTGTCCCATTCATACAACATCAACTATTCTCAAATCTCCAAAATGCACCTCCATGTATTTCCAAAACACTTTCTTTTCTTTTCTTTCTTTCAAAATATGGCATCATCATTCTGTAAGGCATTTCATCCACAATTTCTATGTGCTCTACTATATATATACTCCTAAGTATACTAGACATTCCTATAAAGCAAAAAGCTCATCGTCATTTTGATAGGAACTGTTTAAAAAAACCTTTTCACAGGACTCAATGGTTTGGTCCATTTTTAAGCAAACAGGATGCAGATTTGAATTTAAGCAAGTAAAATGTTAAGTTAAAGAAATGTAAGTGTATTTCGTGTTTCGGTATCAATTACCTATAAATATGATCAAAGATGCAACATATGAGCTGTTTTTAGAAGCATTAAATAATATTAACAATGTTTGAAATGTATATGTAATACACCATATCAAATAAATTAACTTTCATTTTATGAACCATAATTGAAAAACACTTCATTTCCCAGAATGCTCTAGTTTACTTACAATATTATCCAGTCAAAAGATGTCACTTTTAAAAAAAAAACTGTTGTCAAAGTACATTTTGTGGTTAATTCAAATTCAACAAAATTAAAATTTTGGTGGCTGTATTAATTGAAAATGTAATCAGTTAAGAAAAATACATTATACATATGAGGAAATATATAAACATAATTAGGCAAAGTTATTTTATGAGTTAATAACTGCTTAATGTCTTTGAAATTGCAATTCAGTATATGTATTTTCCTGTCGTTCCAATTCAAATTCAAATTCAACATCCTGTAAGTTGTGACCAATTCAATTCAAACTCCATTTCATGAATTAAAGTTACAGTTTGCTATTTCCACCATATTCCTCAGACATTCCTCAAAGTTGAATCTAAAACGCTTGATGACTGCCAAGCCCGAATAAATAACAGCAAAAAAGAATGGTAAGGCAAACTCCTTTTTGTCCACCTAACGCTCACATCACACAAGAGTCGGTATCTGGTTTCAATAGGACACCATTTCCTGTGATGGGGCTCTTTAAATATTTCTCACACTCTCTCTCTGCTTCGTTCCAGTGCACACAGAGAGGAACAACACAGCACAGCAATCTCACTCACAGCAACAGAAAAGAACAGATGAAGAGCTCAGGGGAGGCAGTGAAGTCATGGAGAGCCATGTTGAGCAGAGCTTCAGTGGATTCAATCACACAGTCACCAGTCCACAGGCCTGACACTTTCACATCAAGATTAAGGTTATATCTGGTGACAACGGGGCAGGAGGCTTGAGAAAGCGTTGTAGCTTTAGATGTAAACTGGTTGCTCCTGGGCTGTTAACAAGCGGTACATGGCAGCCGGCATAGTCTTCATGTGAATCTGTTCAGAGTGGGGCGAAACGTGAGAGTCAGGTTCAAGTGACCGCAAAAACCATTAGACACTCAAGACAAACGTAAAAATATATAAGTGTGAACTAGTGGTGGGCGATATGAAAACTTATTAACCTGTTAAGCTCACCCCCCTTTTTTTGAATAAACATGAAAATGCACATTTCGAACTTAAATGGTTGTAATTCAAGAATGTTTTGGAATATAGACGTAAGATTGGTCTCGTTTTAAAGAAGACATTTGGCAGATAAAAGTGAAATAAATTAAGAAAGAGAAACTGAAAGTTTATGAAAAGGTACAATGTAAAATATTTTATTATTCATATTTTATATAAAATATACACTCACCTAAAGGATTATTAGGAACACCATACTAATACTGTGTTTGACCCTCTTTCACCTTCATAACTGCCTTAATTCTACGTGGCATTGATTCAACAAGATGCTGAAAACATTCTTTAGAAATGTTGGCCCATATTGATAGGATAGCATCTTGCAGTTGATAGAGATTTGTGGGATGCACATCCAGGGCACGAAGCTCCCGTTCCACCACATCCCAAAGATGCTCTATTGGGTTGAGATCTGGTGGGTGTGGGGGCCATTTTAGTACAGTGAACGCATTGTCATGTACAAGAAACCAATTTGAAATGATTCGAGCATTGTGACATGGTGCATTATCCTGCTGGAAGTAGCCATCAGAGGATGGGTACATGGTGGCCATAAAGGGATGGACATGGTCAGAGACAATGCTCAGGTAGGCAGTGGCATTTAAACGATGCCCAATTGGCACTAAAGGGCCTAAAGTGTGCCAAGAAAACATCCCCCACACCATTACACCACCATCACCACCAGCCTGCACAGTGGTAACAAGGCATGATGGATCCATGTTCTCATTCTGTTTACGCCAAATTCTGACTCTACCATCTGAATGTCTCAACAGAAATCGAGACTCATCAGACCAGGCAACATTTTTCCAGTCTTCAACTGTCCAATTTTGGTGAGCTCTTGCAAATTGTAGCCTCTTTTTCCTATTTGTAGTGGAGATGAGTGGTACCCAGTGGGGTCTTCTGCTGTTGTAGCCCATCCGCCTCAAGGTTGTGCGTGTTGTGGCTTCACAAATGCTTTGCTGCATACCTCGGTTGTAACGAGTGGTTATTTCAGTCAAAGTTGCTCTTCTATCAGCTTGAATCAGTCGGCCCATTCTCCTCTGACCTCTAGCATCAACAAGGCATTTTCACCCACAGGACTGCCGCATACTGGATGTTTTTCCCTTTTCACACCATTCTTTGTAAACCCTAGAAATGGTTGTGCGTGAAAATCCCAGTAACTGAGCAGATTGTGAAATACTCAGACCGGCCCGTCTGGCACCAACAACCATGCCACGCTCAAAATTGCTTAAATCACCTTTCTTTCCCATTCTGACATTCAGTTTGGAGTTCAGGAGATTGTCTTGACCAGGACCACACCCCTAAATGCATTGAAGCAACTGCCATGTGATTGGTTGATTAGATAATTGCATTAATGAGAAATTGAACAGGTGTTCCTAATAATCCTTTAGGTGAGTGTATATTTTCAAAACCTGAGCGACTCTAAAACTGCAAAAAAAAAAAAATCAAAGCCAAAAATCTGAACAAGTTGTGATTCAAATTTTAGGTTGATATCTCAAAAAATGACCTTTCAGTAAGATTTTGTTTGGGCGCAGTACCAAACTTTTTCACTAGATGACAACCATCTGCCCATATAAGGGTGCCTCCATTTCCATATGTGTTTTGAGTGATATGAACCATTATTTCCACAATTTTCATACAATTTATGAAGTAGACATCCTATTCAGAAGTAATATGAGAAGTTTGGCAGATTTTGATATGAATTCAACCTCTAAGAAACACATAAAAATAACAAGTATGTGCGTTATAGCTTCCTGCCACATCACAAATGGTGAATCTATAATTTTTTTTATTTATATAAAAAAATAAAATTCAGACCTTTTTTTCTAAAATAATTGAATGGATGCTATCTTTTGAACTCTTAGCATGAAAACAAACTGAGGTTTCTACCCTTCTTTCATGATTTTTCATGTTGATCACTATTTCAAAATAAAGGTAGGAGTATGGAAACTAGAGATTGTAAGCTTTCAAATGATATATAGTGTGTCAAGATTAGTTTAGGTTTAGTATAGGATATTACTGTTTTAAAAATGTAATGGATTTGGGCCCACCGGTGGGTCGTGACATGAGAACATTTTTTTCACAATATATATATATATATATATATATATATATATATATATATATATATCACAGTATAGTAATTTTTGCTATTATACTTTTGTTTTTAAATGCCAAACAGTAAACTTTAAGTTTTCCATGTATTTTTGCATTTATTTGAAAGATTTCCAAGCACACTTTTAAAGATGTGCAATAGGGCTGCACGATCCTGGGAAAAAAATGACATTGCGATATTTTGTTTTCCTGCAATACTACAAATTGCGATATGAAAACACTTTCACTGGATGAATAGCTCTATTTGGAAAGAATTAATAATTCTAGAATGATTGGGGTGATTTTGTAGGTGAGTGAATCTGCATAGATTACAAGCATAGATAAATATAATAGAACAAAAATACAAATGAAATAAACAGTGCTTTATTTTTTCAGGCAAGTCCAGCAGTATTCAGGTACAGAAATTGAATAATCAAATGTAAAATAACTGCATAGTCTTTGCTGTATAAATTAAATATAATTAATCTTTGTTAAAGCTACAAAAGCGATTTTGGCTTTATATTTTAATACAAATTTTTTTTTTTTTACAAAATTGTAATTTTCTTGTTTGATTAATATTGATGACAGGTTTTTAGGCTGCTGTCACTTTAAGACCAAAATGCAGTGCACGGATGCAATATAATGGTATGTATATGTTTTCTTTCTCAATTGTTTACATTCATGTAGGCCATAAGGTACTTACACGAAGATACTCGCGAGATGGGCATTTTGAGAATATTGCACACATGCGCTCACTAAGCACAAATAGAAGAGAAAGAAAATGGGATTCAGTGTTTCTGTTGAGCTTAACTTGTACTGAACCTGGAACATTCCTTTAAGGGACTTTTTATTCATTCTGGACGTTCATTTACACGACAACTGCCGTTTGGGGGCCTGAAAACGCAAACTTTTGAACAGAGTTTTTGAAAACCAAATATGCGAATTTGTGAAAATGGTGACGTCATGCACATGAGTATTATGTGTTCAGTCTATTGGCGCGTAGTGTTTCTTTCCAAAGTGACATCGCCAACTACTGGCCTGGCATGAATAATATATCGATTTTGGTCATTTTCGCGGATCCGTGTGAACGGGGATCGTTTTGACCACGTTGTCGTCTGTATGTGAAAAATGCAAAAGAAAAACTTTTCAGTTTTTAGTACGTTGTTGTTGTAGGAGTGTACCCAAAGTATTTTGACCCTTTCTGGTTGTCAAACATTAGTGGATCATGATCATAGTTATCACGATGAACAACACCTGTGGTTACTCTGATAGGACACCTGTGTGAACTTGAGTGAATTGACTTCATACTAAAATCACACTGGCACTGGTTGATTAACAGTCATTGCAAAAATAACTTCTGAGAAAAGTGTCCAAAACCCTTTTTGGGCCGCTGTGATCTACATGAAACAGAGCTAAGCCAGGTGCCAAGTTTCCGTAGTTTCATGATCATAATTGAAATAAATAGGGTTATTACCTCATTGGAGAATTAGTGATGTGAAAAATATTATGTTGTTAGGCAGGTGTGGAGCTCGATCGTGCTCCCCAAACTTACCTCACCAACTGCATTAGACAGAATGTGTACAATCTTCTCATGAGGGGTGGCCACAACACTCTGGGTATTGATTTCAATGATCCTGTGGCCAACACGGACCCCGCCGCGCTCTGCTATCCCTCCTCTCATGAGACTGCAAATCTGGAGGATGCAAAATACATTCAAGTTGTACTTCAGACCAGATTATAGTAGCATTGAGATACTATTATAGTTTTTTTTTTGGTAATCTTTTGAATACATTTATATTTTTGTATTTTTCATTTTTCATTTTAATTTTAGTTAAAGTTTTAGTAAGCGTGCTTTTGTCTTTTTTTTCTTTTCGTTTTTGTGTTTATGATTTATTTTATTATTATTATGTTTATTTATTTTATTTTTACTTGTTTAAGCTAATCAAATTCTGAGAAAAAATGAGAAATGTTACTTTGGCAACTAGCTGAAAAAAAGTTGTTTATATTTTATTTTAGTTAACATTTATTTTATTTAAAGTAACCAAATGTTAGTTTTTTTATGGTTTTAGTTTTAGTTAACTATAATAACCCTGATTCACTATTGAAAAAACATTTGGTAATACTTTAGTTAATAATGAGAATTGGACCCTAAACTAGTTTCTTATTAGCACGCATATTACTAGGATATTGGCTGTTTATTAGTACTTGTATAAAGCACTTATTAATGCCGTATTCTGCATAACCATATTCTACATCCCTAAATCCTACCCAATACCTAAACTTAACAACTACTAACTATTAATAAGCCGTTATTAGGAGTTTATTGAGGCAAAAGTCATAGTTAATACTTAGTTAATAGTGAGATCTGGACCCAAAACTAAAGTGTGACCAAAAATTACAAACTACTACTACAACATTAAAGTATTAATAACAATAAAGGTCAATACAAATATTTTCATCTTAAAGGAACACTCCGACTTTTTGGGACTTTAGCCTATTCACCTTATGCCCCAGAGTTAGAAAAGTCCATACATACCTTTTTCATCTCCGTGCGTGCTATAAGTCTGTTTGACGCACCCACCACTAGCCTAGCTTAGCACAAAGACTGGATGTAAATGGTTGCAGCTAGCATACTAATCCAAATAAGTGACAAAATAACGCAAACATTTTTCTATTTACATGTTGTGATTTGTATAGTCACAGAGTGTACAAAAAACAAAGTCACATGAGACACAGACATATTTTAACCGTATAAATACTGGGAACTATATTCTCTAAAGGCGACTATATTCTCTGAAGGCGAAGCACTGCTACTTGGGCGGAGTGATAACCGCAGCACCTGAGACGAGCCGTGGTGAGGAGCAGAGAGCGCGTCTCAGGTGCTGCGGTTATCACTCCGCCCGAGTAGCAGTGCTTCGCCTTCAGAGAATATAGTTCCCAGTATTTATACGGTTAAAATATGTCTGTGTCTCATGTGACTTTGTTTTTTGTACACTCTGTGACTATACAAATCACAACATGTAAATAGGAAAATGTTTGCGCTATTTTGTCACTTATTTGGATTAGTATGCTAGCTGCAACCATTTACATCCAGTCTTTGTGCTAAGCTAGGCTAGCGGTGGGTGCGTCAGATAGAGTTATAGCACGCACGGAGATGAAAAAGGTATGTATGGACTTATCTAACTCTGGGGGATAAGGTGAATAGGCTAAAGTTTCAAAAAGTCGGAGTGTTCCTTTAAGGCTGATAAATGGCTGATGTTAAAATTCTTTACTCTTTTTTTTCTACATAAATTAAAAAATAAAAATCTAGTGTTTTATTTTTAATTTATGTAGAAAAAAAGAGTAAAGAATTTTAACATCAACTTTATGCATCATAACACTATAATATACAGTATGAAAAATGAATATTCATTTCAGATTTGCTACATATACATATGTATATGACATATAATGCACATACATATACAATATCAGTTTATACCAATAGACACAAAAAAAACTCATTTTTTTCAAAAATCCAAGATACCTACAATGCCATTCTGCACACTAAATCCCAGCTGATATCTCAGGTCTGGTCTTCTGATGAGGACAGTGGTCACAGGTGGGCATCTCACAATGTTAAGCTTTATTCTGGATTGGTTCTTCAATCCCTAGAAGCACAATATGTTTGACACAATACATTGAATGTAGAAGAATTGGCTAAAAGAATCAAATCAGTGAATCAGAAATAGAATTAAATCTTTGAAATTCACAATATTTTTGCACATAAAGTGTACTTAAAGTCCACTTGTACCTTGATAATACTCTGGCAGGTGGAGAGGGGTAATCCCACCAGGCTGGTGCCATTGATGGACATAATCTGGTCCCCAATGTTCAGCCTGCCTGACTTCTCTGCCGGGCCGCCGTGCATCATGTTTGCTATAATAACTGTGGGAAGGATGGAGCCCCAGCCCGACTCTACAATCACCAGCCCAAGAATCTCTCCCTTCTGCTTCTCTATGTAAACCTGTAGTGCACAGACACATACCCACCACTTTTATCACCGCTAAAACACGATTTAGTCAACATTACTGATAATTCTGACATTATCAAGGCAAATTCTCAAAATTTCACAGTAATCTTCTGTTTCCACAAGGCATGTGCTGTCCACTTACATCTTTGCAGTTCTCAGACTTGGAAAAGTGAATGAGGTCATCGTTGTACATGTCCTGCGTGTTAAGGAGGTCGCTATACTCTTTCTGGCTCAGATCCTCTGGGTTGATGCCATTGGCACGCAGGAACTCTTGGTACGCCACACTGAAAGCCTGGCCGATGGATTGAGCTATGAGCTGAGCCTGAGCACAAATAGAAATCAGGTAAAATGAACAACTAATATAATATGAAATAACTAAATTATTACATTGCATAAATACAATTTGATTTATTAAACTTTTTTAAAGGACAGCAGTTTAAAAAAAGATGACAGTTAAACACATGGGTCAAGAGACGACAAGGGCGGGATCCCTCAGGATAGTCGCATACACGCCGTTTGCCCTCATGTCACTGTTGTACACTGTGCTGAGACATACGCTCTGTGACATATACGGGCTCTTTGAATTCGAATAGCGTCTGCAGCCGAACAGAGAAAAGGTCACTTCCCGTCTACTGATTCAACCCACGCAGCAAGATGCCCAGGAACACCATCTGGATTAATGCTATTAGAGGTCACTACCACAATGGCCAAGTGACTGCAATACTGAACATGCTGGGGGAAAAAATGTGAGGAGACTGAGAAAAATTGGGCAATTTTGGATGATTAAATGTGGAAAAAGTGCAAAGGGTGAATATGGAAGGGAGTTGCTGTTGTGTGTTGTGGTTGACCTCCCCCTTAACTGTGGTAAAACCACTGTAATAAACAGCCTAGAGTGGCTTATTGCTTTCATCAACCGCAACAACAGCAGTATTATAAAATGAAGTGTGTAAATCCATTTTATAATATATCGTTTTATAATGCTAAAGCAATAAATTGAAACCGTCGCCCTGACAGCCTCCTTTAGCCGCCGGTTGATAAGGTCACACTGGCACATAGCTGGGATGAAGAACTCACATCTTCAGACTCAAACACGTGACAGATCATCTTGTATTGCCGCTTCTCGTCCTGGGCAGGGTCAGAGGCTTCCATGTTCTCCTGAGAGTCAGAGCGAGCCATTCTCCTTCTGGCCATCAACACCACGATGTTCCCAATATCAGCGATGTAAGAGATGGTCCTTAAAGGGTGGTCCATCATGGTCTCCTGTGAATCAGGAGAAGATTGTAATGGTAGGAACAATTCTCAAAGCTTAATCTATTTCTACACACACAATATATATATATATATTTTTTTTCAATCAATATTTTTATTCTATAAAACATTGAAGATAAAAATACTGGAAAAGAAAAACTGCCAAAAGTTCATTTAGGTTGTTTTAAGATTTTTAAAAAAAATAAGTTTAGTTTCCAAACCCCATTTGCAAATCTTTCTTCTTGTTTAAGCTTAAATCAAACCCACAATTTAGCCAGGTTTCAGCTAGTATACATTTTTTAGTACACTACAATTTAAAAGTTTGCTGTTTGGTAAAAAATATTTTATGTTTTTGAAAGAAGACTCTTTCACGAACCTGCATTTATGTGACCAAAATACAGTAAAACAGTAATTGACATGCTCAGACACAAGGAAGAATTGAGGATCTCAAAGCAGCATTCATTTTATTTAACAAAATAACACAGAATACAAAATTGCAAACTGAATGTACGATCAGGAATATGAAACAGCTTTATTAGCACTGAAAGACAATGACCGACAAGGAATAGAAACAAACTAGCAACAGAAATAAAAAGGAACAGGAACTAAGAATATGGAAAACAAGAACATATAAGTCCATGAAAATGAAAATGAAACTGAAACTCAGGCTGAACGTTACATTAATCCGGATTAAGGAGCCAGGAGGATGACAGACCGAGGTGGCGACGATGGGACGAGGGAACCCAGTGAAGTCACGCTGGAGCCGAGGGACCGAGGAGCCACAGTGGAGCAGATAAATTGATGGGCCGAGGCAGATTCTTAAGCCCGGAAGACCAAGGTGAAGCTGAGGACCAAGTAAGAGCTGGGAGCCGGGAAGCCCAAGGTGAAGCCAGGGAACTGGGTGGAACCAGCAGAGAAAGAGAGAAATCAGCAATGAAGAATGAGCCAGGAAGCTGAACGGAGCCAGTGATGAAGAAGGAGGTCGGCAGAGCCAGAGTAGATGAAGGAGCTGGGAAGCTGGGCACGACCAGCAGAGGAAGCGGATCGAGGAAACTGGGCGGAACAGGCAGGGCCAGGGAGCTGGATGAAACCAATGGACCAGGCAGTAGGGTGAGAAATGGTTCTGGTGACCACAAGTCCATCAAAACTCCCACAGGGATGGACATGCCATCTGGCTTTAGCTCCTGACCAGCCTGGGCGACTAGCTCGCGCTCCGGGAAGACATTGGAGGATCCTCTCCACCAATGGAGGGTTCATGGTTGGCGTGGGCTCTGGCTTTGGGTTTGTGGAGGGTGCAAGCTCTGGCTTTGGGTCTGTGGCGGGATTTAACTCAGGCTCTGGGTGTCAATGTTCTCCTCGACCTCCCCCACAGTTAGGGGGGAACCAACCAGGAACAATGCAAACTCTATGTATTGCTGCAGCGAGCAGCTGGAGTTCCCCATTGGAAGAGACTGTAAGAGATGGTCGTCTAGCCCACTCCAAAAAAAAAAAAACCTTTTAAAGTGTGTTCTTGTCCCAGGGTCAGTCATTCTGTCATGCTCAGACGTAAGGAAGAGTTGAGGCCAGATCTCAAAGCAGCATTAACTTTACTTAATAATATAACAAAGAATACAAATCGCAAAATTAATGTAGGAGCAGGAAACCTCAACAGCTTTTCAAGCACGTAAAGACAATAACCAACAGGTCACAGAATGAAATAAGGAATATATATATATATACACAGGGATAACAAGCTAAATTAACACGATGCAGATGATGATCATGGGTAACCATAGAAACAAACTAGCAATTGGATTAAAGGAAACAGGAACTAAGACAAAGTATTAATTCAATTTAAAATGAAGTCTTACTGACGCCAAACTTTTAAATGGTAATGTATATTTAAATTTTTTTTTAAGATCAAGAAAAATTCAGTTTCTCGTGATGAGACAAATAAGTATTCTGTACTTATACTAACTCATTGTGATGTCTGCTCTAGTATTTTGTTCACTTTTGGTAAAAAGGTGTGGAAACCAAAGTCGTGTAGGTGATGAAGTACCTGTGAGTCTGCATTGAGCACTTTGATTCTCTGAGTGGAGATGAAGAGATCCACCTCCGTCATGGGCTGAGCTTCACCTTCTGGAGCCTGAAGATGGAGAAAATCACACAATATCAGTCACTGAGAGAGACATTGACAGAGAGAAAGAGAGAGAGAGAGAGAGAGCTGACAAGGCCCAGAGATGCCATGAAGGAGCGTACAAACATCTCCCAACATTTGCCATCTTTAAGGCCAGATATTCAAATGATTTTAAACTATCTCCTTCATTGTGTAACTCTGATAACCTGTGCGTTTTTTTAAGCCAGCTAGTATTGCAAGTTGGCATGGGGTTAGTTTGGTTAGTTTTGTTCTTCATTTGAAGAAATTCAGTAAGTTAAGAGAAAGAGAGGGATACAGAGTTTTCAACCAAGTGCTGGACAGCTGAATAAAAAAAGAGAAACCAAGAGAAGTGCAAAACATGCTGTGCCAGATATACACCTTCAAAAACAGTCACAAACACAGCACAGTACCTCAGAAAGAAAAAGATCAGGTACGAAGAAGAAGAAAGTAAAGATCACTTGCATTTTCTGTATCCAGCAAACTAGACATTCCTGGCCTTAACTTATTCCACGGCTTCCCCATGTAAGATCTGGTGATAAAACTGAGGTAATGTTTGGTGTGGAATGAACAATGGCTAACAGACTGTGCGGACGGACACAGGTACATGACTCATTGCTGGATTCAGAAAAAAATGGCAGAGCGACAGAAATTATGAAAACACTGAAGTGCTGAAACCAGGCAAAAGAAGAAGACGAAGAACAAAAATAAAAACAAAACACCAAACCGATGACCAATTACTGCACCTTCTTCCTGTTTTTGGCTAATTTCTGGGCCGTCTGCTTAGCATGGAACAAACAGAGACAGGAACAGTGTTAGATAAAGCAGAGCTCAGCAAGACCAAATCACATTTGAGGTATCTCTCTGCTCAATAAGCTGCATCTGAAAAGTGACTGCATTTTTATCAGCTGTGGAACGGGTTCAGATGACACCAAGCCAAGATTATTAGACACCACCCTGCAACAATATGTTGCCTTTGGTTTCTTTTCATGGCAATTTGCACCATTATCCACCAGGTGGCCTATTTGTTCTTTTAATATCATATGTCTGTCTACTATTGGTGTTATATTACAGAACATCCTGTTCATAAAACATCAACTATACAAAGCAGGGATGAATTCTGCTGAAAATTAGATTAAGAGCAAGTTCAAACTTGCCAGCAGACTGTGATAATGGATCGAACTGGCCATCTAAGGAAGATCTACGTCATGGCAGCTGAGGCAGGGTGTATTGATTCAGATGTCTCTCCAAATGCATGCAATTTACACTTGTTTTATGTACCGCATTGAAACTGTCAATCTACTAAAACCCCCCATATTAACGATCCTCAAGGATGTCACTCATTTTGAGCTCATATTTGTGCATGGGAGAAGGTACGGTGTCTCACACATGCAGGTAATAAAACAAAGAACTCATAATAACCTATGCTCATTTTTCAATTGTCTTTAACAACGATAAATATAACTATATTCTGAAAGTGATTCCAACAATTTTGTTTCCGTGCCGTTATCGTTATAGCTGTGGTGTGAACTCTGCTATTTTTTAATATTGATAATGATTTTTAGAACTATATCTTTATCGTTATCGTCCTTGGTATCCTTAACCCATAAGCATTTACATATTGTCTTTTGAGGGTCAAGTGCATAAATCCGAAGATTTTACATCTATTTGGCCCACATTAAACATTTTCAATTCTAAGGAGCTCCGTTACAAGAGAAGTGGAAACTTTTCTTTAAGGTGATGTAAAATGTGACTCTTGGTCTTTTAAGCAAAACGGTTAAATCAGATAATCTACAAAAGGACAGCATATTGACTTATTCTGTAAATATTAAATTAGTGTCAAGGTTCCCTGTCAATATTTGACCAAAACTCATTTGAGGAACCCTTCAACCTTAACTGCTAAGAAGACCAGATCAGGTAATAGGGATGCATGATAACCATCAGTTTTGGGATGATTTAATTTATTTATTCATTTCAATCAATTTAGCTATTGGATATTTAATTGTGCTGCTCATTTTGAAAAAATGAATTACCATCATGAAACACAATTTAATAACACTGTTAAATGTATTTTTTTTTGTGGAAATCTCAAAATTAATATCGATTTTCTACTCTATAATATTGGGGTGCCTAATTTTACTTGTAGCATTTAATATGATTGATTTAGTTTTAAGTGTCTCCAGCATTGGATGTTGGTGTGCTGGTGTCATTATTATGCTGCTTATATATATATATATATATATATATATATATATATATATATATATATATATATATATATTCCCTAGTAATATCTAGAACTACTTTCCCAGCTAACAGGGAATGTTCTCAGAACTTTCTGGCAAAGTTCTCTAAGAAAGTTATGAACAATATTATAATATTTTACTATATTATTTTACATTTACTAATATTATAAAAACGTTAGCACAAAACATTTTATACATCGTTCATGGAATGTTTTTTTCTCTGAAACATTTCAGTTGGATGTTGATTAAACATTTTTTAAAAGTTACTACTTGTTTCAGAATGTTTATAGAACATTTGAAAGGAACGTTCCCAAAATGTTTGCAACATATATATGTATATATATATATATATATATATATATATATATATAGAGAGAGAGAGAGAGAGAGAGAGAGAGAGAGAGAGAGAGAGAGAGAGAGAGAGAGAGAGAGAGAGAGAGAGAGAGAGAGAGAGAGAGAGAGAGAGAGAGAGAGAGAAAAATGGAATGTTCTCTTAATGTTTGTATAACCAAGAAAAAAACATGGGCGTTTTGATAGTTCAGAGAACATTCAAAAAATAACATCTTCATAACTTAACACGAATGTTACAAAAATATGTTCTAAAAAACATTTTTCTTAGTAGGGTTGGTCAATTTGGTGAAAAGGTAAATGCTGGTCCATCAGCTAGACCAGCACCAATCTAATGCTAACCAGACATGAATTTCTTCACAGTTACCTTTTTAAATGACTTCATAATTATAATCATTAGCAATTATCCATTCCGATATTGTTGCCTGCAATTCCACACAGCAATCTGTAATTGAAAATTTTAACACAAAATGTACATACAAAGGGACATGCTGAAAGAACACTAAATGGCACAGGTGTTGGTCTCACTGCATTTTTTAAGGTGGAGGTAAAAAATGCTGAGTAATGCAGCTGACAGGGCGAATGGCTGATTTATGCTGCAGGAGGATGAACAGGAGGGAGGTGGTAAATGTCTCTGATCCTTAGGAACAAGAATCATGGGATAGGTCCCTGCATTTGACTATGGAATCATTACCGCAAGAGGACCACACACAAACACTCACTCTTAGTTTTACGATCATCTCTCTTCTTCTGCTGTGAACTGACATTTCAATTGGAACAACAAAATATGTCTGCAAAACGCAACTTCATCATGTTGTATCCGAGGAATAAAATGCTCGCGCAATAAATACACTATCCGTATATGACAAGTCAGAGTACAGCTCTGCATTCCTTATGAATTCCCATTCTTTTGTCCTAAAACTGTCACTTTTGGTTTCTTGGGACATTTATGCTGATCCTGAAGCAAGTATTTCTTAGGAAATTTCTTGAGATAGATTCATAGAAGCTCAGGTTTACATCTCTACAGCGGGGTAAAGACAGAACCCTTTCACCTCACCTTAATGCGACTCACAGCCTCCTGAGCCTGCATCATGCGCACATTTTTGGAGGGTGTCTTGTCTGAGAGCAGCTGGGTGGATCCCAGGTAGTTAGCAGCAAAGATAATACCATCAATGAGGTCCTCTGGGTCACATGGGCCTGGTACTAATAGAGAAGAGAGGAACATTTCAGATCTATTTTTCATCTTCAAAACATGCTTATGTGGCGGCTGAGGACCTGAAAATTGTAACAATTAGGAAATGACAGACAATCTTACCTTCCACATATGTCGGGAATGAAGCAAGACTTCTCCTTGACTGCACATACAACAACAAAGACACAAATGGCTCAATACAACATTCTTTAAAGGGATACTCCACTTTTTTGGAAATAGGCTCATTTTACAACTCCCCCAGAGTTAAACTGTTGAGTTTTACCGTTTTTGAATCCATTCAGCCGATCTCCGGTTCTGGCGGTACCACTTTTAGCATAGCTTAGCATACATCATTGAAGTGGACAAGACCATTAGCATTTCTAAAAAAAAAACATTACCAAAGTGTTTCGATATTTTTCCTATTTAAAACTTGACTCTTCTGTAGTTACATCGTGCACTAAGACCGACGGAAAATGTAAAGTTGCGATTTTCTAGGCTGATATGGCTAGGAACTATACTCTCATTCCTGCGTAATAATCAAGAAACTTTACTGCCGTACCATGAGTGCAGCAGGCGTAATGATATGACGCAGCGCCTGAAAATAGTCCCCAGCTCGGTAACTTCCAACGTGACCGGGACTAAGTGCCTGCGCCTGCTGCACTCATGGTACGGCAGTAAAGTTTCTTGATTATTACGCAGGAATGAGAGTATAGTTCCAAGCCATATCAGCCTAGAAAATCGCAACTTTACATTTTCCGTCGGTCTTAGTGCACGATGTAACTACAGAAGAGTCAAGTTTTAAATAGGAAAAATATCGAAACACTTTGGTAATTTTTTTTTTGAGAAATGCTAATGATCTTGTCCACTTCAATGATGTATGCTAAGCTATGCTAAAAGTGGTACCGCCAGAACCGGAGATCGGCTGAATGGATTCAAAAACGGTAAAACTCAACAGTTTAACTCTGGGGGAGTTGTAAAATAAGCCTATTTCCAAAAAAAGTGGAATATCCCTTTAAGCAGTTATTTTTAGGTATGGTGTGTCCCTTTCTATATTGCACAATATAATATAATAAAATATAATTTAATATATTATATTATATAATAGAAAATAATACAGCATACCATGATAATATAATATATAATAATATAATAAAACTGTAAGACTGGACAAAGGACCTTGCTGAAAATTAACATTTGAACTCCCCCTCGTGCACTATTGAGACGAAGGTCTCACCTCCCTCATCCTAATCTACATTCTTCACTCTTGCAGAGATTCCCCAAACTCAAACAAGAATCTAAATGGTTTTAATGTGAACAATTATCATACAGTTTTATACATGTTTGGTATCATTTGAAATGTCTCAGTGCGACTGGTACAAATGTCTCATTTCCAAATAAGTCAAACAAAAGGTAATAAGGTTTTTAAGAGTTTAGAGATAACATACACACAAAGGAGGGTGGATAGTTAAACCCTCCTGCTCTCAGAAGGTGTTAACTCGTTGCAAATTCCCACTGTTAGCAAATGGTTCCATGTAAATCAACTTCTGCCCTCAGTAAGTCTGGGACGGTGATTGAGGTGAATTTCCACTTCGAACTTATGTTTGCATATGAAATGGGGTCTGTCTATATAATGAAATGTAGCAGGGGGCTCGGGGCTCCTTTTCTGTATCTCAGATGAGCCCGTGAGGCCGAGACTCTCCGCTTCACGTATTTCTTAAATGTCGGATTCGCATTTCTTCTCTTTATTCCAGAGCATTTGATGTTTTGTATTGATTATCTTTGAACTGATTATGAAATTGGAATGATAAATTTACCTGACATAATAAATTCTTACATTTGGTTATTCTAACTTACTTTGATATTATTTCATTAGAGTTAAAAGAAATAGTCAAACTTTCGCTTATATTTAATGATGCACAGATATCTTTAAAAACCTTTTCATTTATGGAGTCAGATGATATAATGAGAGAATACATGAGACACGTATTGCATTTAATCAAAAATACTTTGCCACGAGAAAAGACAGTAACACGCAGAGACCTTCACCCGCTGATTGGATGCCTCCATTGGGCCGATCGAGCCGGGCTTTGCAGTAATATACTATAATATTCAATAATATAATATAATGAAAATATAGTATTTTGTATTAAATAATAGTAAGCAATACAGATGGATGGATAATGTATAGTAATATATTATGTTATATTATACATATCTATATATTATACAGTGAATTTCTCTGAGATCATAGATGCCGCTTTTTGGGATAATATTTGAGGGTTTGATGTTTTTTAGAAATGTTTTTTTTGGGTAACACTTAACAATAAGGTTTATTTGTTAACATTAGTTAACTACATTAGTTAACATGGACTAATAATGAACAGCACTTCTACAGCACTTATTAATCTTAGTTAATGTTATTTTCAACATTTACTAATACATTATTAAAATCAAAAGTTGTATTTATTAACATTAGTTAATGCACTGAGAACCAACAAGAACAAACATGTATAAATACTATAACAAACGTATTGCTCATTGTTAATGTTAGTTAATACATAAATGTTAACAAATGAGAACTTATTGTACAGTGTTACCGTTTTTCTTTAAAAATTACATTTTAAAACAATGTATTCTTGCCTATATATACAGTATATATATACACACTCACCTAAAAGGATTATTAGGAACACCTGTTCAATTTCTCATTAATGCAATTATCTAATCAACCAATCACATGGCACTTGCTTCAATGCATTTAGGGGTGTGGTCCTGGTCAAGACAATGTCCTGAACTCCAAACTGAATGTCAGAATGGGAAAGAAAGGTGATTTAAGCAATTTTGAGCGTGGCATGGTTGTTGGTGCCAGACGGGTCGGTCTGAGTATTTCACAATCTGCCCAGTTACTGGGATTTTCACGCACAACCATTTCCAAGGTTTACAAAGAATGGTGTGAAAAGGGAAAAATATCCAGTATGCGGCAGTCCTGTGGGCGAAAATACCTTGTTGATGCTAGAGGTCAGAGGAGAATGGGCCGACTGATTCAAGCTGATAGAAGAGCAACTTTGACTGAAATAACCACTCGTTACAACCGAGTTATGTAGCAAAGCATTTGTGAAGCCACAACACGCACAAGCTTGAGGCGGATGGGCTACAACAGCAGAAGACCCCACCGGGTACCACTCATCTCCACTACAAATAGGAAAAAGAGGCTACAATTTGCAAGAGCTCACCAAAATTGGACAGTTGAAGACTGGAAAAATGTTGCCTGGTCTGATGAGTCTCGATTTCTGTTGAGACATTCAGATGGTAGAGTCAGAATTTGGCGTAAACAGAATGAGAACATGGATCCATCATGCCTTGTTACCACTGTGCAGGCTGGTGGTGATGGTGGTGTAATGGTGTGGGGGATGTTTTGGTAAATGGTAAATGGACTGCATTTATATAGCGCTTTCACAGACCCAATGGCCACCAAAGCGCTTTACAATTTGCCTCACATTCACCCATTCACTCTCTCATTCATACACCGACGGGCGACGGCAGCCATGCAAGGCGCCATCCAGCTCGTCGGGAGCAGCTGGGGTTAGGTGTCTTGCTCATGGACACCTCGACACTTGGTCAGGTGGAACCGGGGATTGAACCACCAACCTTCCGGTTTGTAGACAACCTACATGAACCACTGAGCCACTGCCGCCATGTTTTCTTGGCACACTTTAGGCCCCTTAGTGCCAATTGGGCATCGTTTAAATGCCACGGCCTACCTGAGCATTGTTTCTGACCATGTCCATCCCTTTATGGCCACCATGTACCCATCCTCTGATGGCTACTTCCAGCAGGATAATGCACCATGTCACAAAGCTCGAATCAGTTTCTTGAACATGACAATGAGTTCACTGTACTAAAATGGCCCCCACAGTCACCAGATCTCAACCCAATAGAGCATCTTTGGGATGTGGTGGAACGGGAGCTTCGTGCCCTGGATGTGCATCCCACAAATCTCTATCAACTGCAAGATGCTATCCTATCAATATGGGCCAACATGTCTAAAGAATGCTTTCAGCACCTTGTTGAATCAATGCCACGTAGAATTAAGGCAGTTCTGAAGGCGAAAGGGGGTCAAACACAGTATTAGTATGGTGTTCCTAATAATCCTTTAGGTGAGTGTATATATATTTAAATAAATTAACTGAATTAATAAAACAAAATAGCAAAGCACGAATACATTATATATAGCCAAACCAGAAATACAGTTTTAAACTTGAATCTGCTCCAATTAATCTATTATAACGGTATCTTGAATAATTTATAATAACTTCTAAATCACACACAGTCAGGGCCCTAATACTGTGGCCAGTAATATGTGTCCAATTAAGATCCTAGAGCACCTTCTCAACATTATTACCAAGAATAATAATAAAAAAATCTTCAATTTTCAGCACAGTTTCAGAGGTCTATTCATAGGCTCCTACCTCTTTACTGGCTGGAGATGGAGACTCAAAGCTGTCGCTCCCCTCGTGTGGCGGCAGGGGACGGCTGGAAGACTCCGCCCCCTGTGGGGACGTGGAGCCTGAGCCTGGAGACTGGACAAAACAGACACATTCATTAATATTGCATGCTTTACAGTCTATCATTCTGGACAACTGAGTAATACAAAAACTACATTTAATCATGTACTGAGACTTTCAGTGACATTTAGAGTACATTATGTTAATACAAGTCTTCACAGTTTTTGAATAAATTAAATAAATGAATAAAAGAAATTGGTATCATTTAAATAGCAAAGCAATGAGGCAGATTCAAACCAAAGCGACTCGAGTGATAAAATAAAAAGACTAATGTGACAATTGAAAACTGTCGATGTACTGTTAAATGACTATTGTTGGCAGTAGGTTCAGTTCAGACAGTAGGTAAATAATTCCCAAAGAGAAGAACCCGAAAACAGTATTGCTGTCTCAAAACTACACCTCATTCCTCTGAAGAGGTCATATCTGAGTCCAACATGTGAAATACTAGAGAACAAATGACTCATACCCTGAATAACCAGAGCACATTACAAATGAAATATTTAAAAGATATTTCCTGTTCATCCTTTGTCATAACATATAAATACTGCAGTCAAGTCCCACAATGTATCTCCATTACAATAATATAATCAGATGTGTAGAATGGAAATGAACACTGTAAAACAAAAAGTTGCTGCCTTAAATGTAAGCACAATCAACTTGGATGTTTAAGTCATTTCATCTTAAATTACATTAAACTGACTTAAAAAATGGTTGAATCTTGTATAACAAAAAAAGTTGAAAGTTAACTTATTTTGATGAGTTAAAGCAACGCAAAAACATTACGTTGATACTAAAACATTTGAAGATAAATCCAAACCACATTTACGTAAAGCTCCTCACCTCATCACCATGGTGACGATCTACCTGATACATCCAGAAATTTTCCATATCAATGAACAGTGAAAAATGTTCTTCCTCAAAATACACTCAAATCAAGTGCTACAGCAGATGTTGCTCTTTGGACCAGAGTACAAGAGAGAAGAGCCTCTTCCTCTCTCATCAAACTCACGTTGATAACTCCACTTACAACAGAGGAGAACACGGCTCCTGTTACAGCCCGACCTGGGAAAACCGTTCCTGGAACAGCTTCGCTCAAGAGTGACATGGATCAGAGACCACCACACTATGCTACATCACTGCTATTCTGCAGGAAAAACTCAATTCTGCTAAATTCCCTGACAGGTTTACTGGTGGAATAAGCAGCACTAATGAAGTTAGCAGATACTAGAAGTCCCTATTATAGTTACTGACTTATTTTTTACTTTTCACACCCTGAAATATAAATTACCTATACACTGAATAAAAATAATAATAATAAAAATAAATAATACATTTTAAAGCATGTTAAGCATTAATGGAGGGCAGGGGAAGACGGCAGTTTTTCTTCTCTGGTGTTATATGAGCCTTGCTGAATTATTTACAGGCCGTCTCTTTCTGTGTCTCTTTGACTGCACTAAATAAATCATATTGTGAAGGGGGAAAATAACAGGCTTCTGATGAAATGTCAAATTCTGAGAACAGCACAGAATAGGAGTGGGCAGGACACCACCAAGTGTTCAGCGCAGCTTTAATGGGATTTAATTGTGGGATATGTGGAAGATGCATGACTGAAAGACATTCACTGAACGACCGTTGTTTACAGTTGAGAATCACTAACAAGTTTTAATTTTTAAACAAAGGAATGTTATAATACAAAATTAATATGAAATGTTTAGGATGGTGCACTATTTCTAGGGAATGAATCAAATGTAAGAATTTTCTAAATAGATATGAACTTTTGAAGAGGATTTTGGGATTTTTTACTCAGATTGTTAGCTGATAATATATTTCGTAATAAAAATATTGAATTGCAAAATAAAAGCTTTCACTGGTCTCAGACTGTGTATGGAAACGCCAGTGCCCCTGTCCCAGATAGAACCCTAAGCCCTCGCAATCTTCCTCTGAGTCCAACTCGTTTTGACTGTCAGGTATACACGTCTGCTGTGGAGACCCTTTTGAAACCTAAAATGACAAGTGGGACAACTTACGGTCTTGTGGACTTAACACAAACGAGCACGCGGAGGCCATTGTAAGACCACAAGACCCCACGTGCACATGAAGTGTGGCATTTGGAACAGGACCAAAGTGTTGTTATTGTTGATATAACAACAACTAGATGTTAAACTATTAAAGGGGTTATGACATGGGAAATCAAATTTTCCTTGATCTTTTGACATAAGCGCTCTTTGTACCATTAAAACATCCTACAAGTTTCACAGCTTAAACCATCCTCATTATAAACAAAACATTTATTTAATCAAGCTCCAAAAACGGTCCGTTTGGATATTGCGAGATCTGTGACGTCATTTGCATACGCCTGCCTCCAGAGCAAGACATCGACGAATAGTTGTACATCATCGCACCATCGGCCCCGCCCACTGGAGTTAAATCACGAAAGACTAACATTTGCCTACACTGGATGTGAGTGTCGCATAAAAAGCCAGATCAAAAAAAGTTCAGAAATAAAACGTAATCATATCACTCCAATACCTCTTCACTGGCTTCCTGTCTTTTTTAGAATTCAATAAAAATATTTGCTGATTGTTTTTAAAGCTCTTAATAGGCAAGCTCCATCTTACATTTCTCATCTTATTTATTTGAATTCAGCTCCTAAGTCCCTTAGGACTGCCAAAAAGCTCTCCTACACGTCCCACGGTCACGTGTTAAATCGAAAGGTGACAGAGCATTTGCAGTTGCTGCTCCTGCCATTAAGAGTGCTTCTTCTATTTCTGTTTTTAAATCTAGACTTTAGACACATCTTTCCTCTTTAGCCTTTCCTGATTATTAATTTATGGATTAGTAACTGTTATCTTGGGGAGGGGTGAAACTGAGAGTAAATAGGCTGATGGTCTCCCTGTTTCTGTATTGCTAACCTGTATACATGATGGACATCACTCTTTTCATAATCATGTGCAATTTAAATTTTAAATTTGTTATACCTGCCCAGGGACTACAGGTGGAAATTAGCAAATGTTGCTACAACCTGGCCCAAGACATATTCTCTTGTTTAACAAGTTTAATGTTTATTATGCATTGTCCCTGTTTCAAATAAATAATTTCCATTCCATTCCATTCCATCTTTGTTTATGTCACGGTGTGGGTTTGTCTTGTCATGTTTAGTGGTTCCCTGTCTGTCTATTAGTCTTCCCAGGTGTTTCCCATTAACCACGCCCCCTTGTTATCCTGTTTAGATCGTTTGCCCCTGTATTTAAGCCCTGTGTTTCAGTCCAGTCTTTGTGAGTTCTTGTATTGTTGTAATGCTGTATGCACGCTGTCCTGTTCCTGAGTCTGGTTACCAAGTCTGTTTAGTTTCTAGTTTATTTAAATAAAACACTGCTGCACGTGGATCCTGCTTTTGCCTCTGCTTCAGCTGCTTTGTAACAGTTAACTTAATACTGTATTTTATTTTATTGTATTTTATGATTGTTTGTACAGCACTTTGGTCAGTGTAAGCTGTAAATAAATAAAATTGACTTACTTACTAATAAATTAAGTTTTTTCTCCATACAGTATTTATTTGTTTTAGGTGCAAAAAACTATATTAACATTATAAGTGTACCTCAAGGAACATATTCAATTAATAATAAATTACATGACCCCTTTAGAAAACATTTTTGGTAATTGAAAAAAAAGCTAAATAAATAAAAGAAAAGAAAATATAAATCTAAGATGAAAAAGTAAAACAAAAATTGAATTAGCCTTGGCAACTAACTGAAATAATGTTTAAGTCAAAGTACTAAAACTACTAAAAATGAACTAAATCTAAACACAAATAAAAAATAAAACTTAAAAGAGTAAAACTTACACTAAAATGAAAATGAAAACTGAAAATGTAAAAATAAAAGCCAAATCAAAATATTAATAAATACTGAAATAGGATATAAATAATATTAAAATAACATGGGAACCCACAGAAACCTCCTCAATGATCTGAATAAAAGATGTTGTGGGATATGAGTGGAAAAATAATATGCTACAGATAAAACCTGAAAATTTATAATCATCACAATCATTTACAAAATCAACCATAATTGCAGTGGGTGGTGGCTGGTGTCTTCTTTAAACTCCCACTGGGAGATTTCAATTAAGTGCAATTCTTTCTATGTTCCCTCTCATCAGAGAGCCAAAAGCCCTCGATCCCATAGAACTGCTTCCAAATGAGGCCTTGTGCTCATGAATACTGTTCAGATAAACAATGGTGATTAATTAACACTGTCGAAATAGCTAACAGATGAGCTGGGCTTTGTGCTGTTTGTTTAGTGAGACTGTGTGTACTTATGTATACTGTATTTCTGTAATGTGTTGGTAATAGACAATGTGACTGATTCAGCTCTGATTGAGTAAAATTACGCAGCACAGAATCTATTAATTATGTAAATGTAAAACAAAAGAAAAGATTATCCAAAATCTCAAGCACACATCATGAGATGATATTATTAAGTTGATACTAACCGCGGGCGCACTTGAATGACATCCACTCATTATGTTAATAAAAAGGGTAATACTTATCTCAGATAATGAGAAAAAAAAAGAGGAGCGAGAGAGAAGAAAAGTAAAGACATTGTAATTTTGTTGCCTTTCTTATACCGAGAACTCATCTTTCTCTCTATGCTTTGTTCAGACAACGTCTGTTGTGGCTGAGGAGCAGGACAACTTAATTTGCACACGCTGGTCATGTGTAGTAGCACTCGCAGAATACAGATGAGCTCTCCAGGTCACGGATAAGGAGAGCCGTTCTATGAGTGCGAGCAGTCTTCATTTTCTAGCGACATGCAATTTGTCCGGCGCCGTGGCAGGCACCACTCATGAGACAGAGACTAGTGTGTGCCACCGTCCTCTCCAGAAATGAACAGTGATAGAGCGATGAAGTCACGACCAGAGGAATGATGTGATTCACCCAGTGAGGCTGTTGCAGCCAAGGAGAACAACAACGCAATTGTACACGCACTCCTTGAAAGAGTGTTTTTTTTTTGTCATTTGCTGCACCTGCTACAAATATTTAACATAAATTAGAGTACAGTGTTAAGGCAAATAGACCTATACATCTTATCACTCTAATCAAGTTAAAGCAGATGTGTTTTTTTTTCTTCTGAGTTGGACCTATAACTGGCCTCTGTGTTGAGCGCTTGCACTGAAAGAAAAGTGCAGGTGACGTATATTTAATCCCTCAAATATCTGACGAATTGTGTCATGTACACTTGGACCGGCAGATGAAGAATGTAGCATGATGTAAATGTGCTTTAGGGTTAGTACACCCAAAACTTTAAATTCTGTCATCATTTACTCAACCTCATTGTTTAAAATCTGTATATGATTTTGGTTAATCCATTTTTGTCCTTTTGTCCCTCCATTGAGAGACCAGGTAACCAAAACTTAGAAGATCTAAAAAAGGTCATAAAGGCATCACAAACTGAATACATGTGAATCGAGCGGTTTAATCGGAGACTAAGACAGATAATTAGACTTTTATTTACATCTAAACAATGAACAGCTTCACATATGGCACACCACGGAAACTCAAATGTGCGAGAACCAATGAGGTTTGCTCTAGCACATGACTCATGCACAAGCTTTTGTATTCCCATTACCGCATGTGATGGGCTCTATGTTTGTGTGTTTATATGTGAATAAAAGCCTAAAGTAATTCAGTTCATCATATAAAGCAATTGTATTTTTTGCACAAGACTTGGATTAAACCGCTCAGTTCATATTGATTCGTTTTACAATGCCTTTACAACATTTTTGGATCTTCTAAATTTTGGCTACCTGGACTTTCAATGGAGGAACAGAAAGTCTTGAGTTTGGAATGGCATGAGGATGAGTAAATGATGATGGAATTAAAAATTTTTGTGAGAAATAACACTTTAAGAGTGACTTTGTAAGCAAGAATATACCATAAAAATAAAACTGTGGAAACAACAGCAGTGATGATGCTACAAAGCATAAACTGCAGTGCAACAACAGAGTAGCAACGATAGCAGGACATTTTGCATAGTGCGGCTCATACTCACATCAGCCCCCAGAGACGGCTGCAGGTCAGATTCTGCTGTGGGACTCAGGTCCTGCCTCATTACCCAGATGGGTTCTTTGGGCTCGTCTGGCGTGTAGGGCGAGCGCACCGTCCTTGTCTTCACCTCCTCTATTGCCTCTTTGATGTCCTTAATAGCCAGTGAGATTGCATCTCTCTTTTCACGACTGCTCCTCACGACTGGAGCTGTCTCTTCTGAGGGACTTCTGGGGGGCTGCTCTCCCCCCTCTCCTTCAATTATTGGCTCCGGGGATTTGATTTCATCCATTTGACCATGGGACTCTGACTTGGTCCACTCTTCTTCATCGCCGTCCTTGTCCAGGCCCATGGCGACACGGTCCAGGCTCTGCGAGCTCAGACTCTCCTTCACCTCTGCCACAATCTGGTCAATGTCCTCATCCTGCTCGCAGCTGTCGACTCGGGGATACGGGGCAAACTCTGCTTCCTTTTCAGGGCTGTCCGACTCTCCGTCAGACCGCTCGTCGTAGTGGTGGAGCCTGGACCCAACTGCCTCCTGTTGCTCGTACAATTCACGCTCGAAGAGTCTGAACTCTGCCCTACGCTGTTGTGGAGTCTGTCCCTCAGCTTTGGTCGAGGGGCCGTCCGTGATCTCCTCGTAAACGTGCTCCTGAAGGGTGTATTCAGTGTAGGGCTCAGAGTATGGCTCTGGATCGTCTGTTGCTCCACCTTCACGGGCCTCTCCTTCTCCGTTGGGACTGCGGCACATGGGTTGAGTGTAAACATAATTGGAGTAGTTGGGGTTTAGCGTCTCTGCATCATGGGGCCTCTCGGCATTAGGCAGGGGCTCTCGAGGTAGGGGCGGTGGCTGAGGTGGGTATTGGGGTTGGAGGTAAGCTGGACCACCGTGCTGTTGCTCTGACTCTGCACTCTCGGTGTACTCCTCAGCTTCAGGGCGCAGTGGGATGCCGTATGTGCTTTCGTCTTCGGGCTCCGCTTCAAGAACCATGACTGCATCCCCCTCAGCCCGGTCCGTGTGGTTGTGGAAGCCACTCTCGGTGCTGGCGGATCGGGCCAAAGCGCTGCCACCATCTCCCTCGTCTTCCTCAGCTTCCTCTGGCTCTCTGGCGGGCGTCATGGCTTGCGTAGGGGAGATGAGATGCTGTTGATGATCCAGCCTGTGCTGTTCGGTTCTCTCGGCATCTCTCTGCTGCCTCTCCCGCTGTCGCTGTCTCTGTTGCTGTGCCCGAAGTCGGGCCTCGTTGTCTCCTTGTCTGCGGTAGCGTGTAACTGCAGGTCGTGGTATGGGCTGCTGAACAGGTTGCTGCTCGGTATCACCATCTTCCGCCGGCCTCCTCGTGGCACGTGTGCGGTTCGTCCCTCCGTTTGATCCCTCGTACCTTCGGTAGCGTGGGGCCCCCTGCTGTTGGGACTGGTAGTGGTTATTCTCCGTACCGTGGTTGCTGTGGTGGTTGCGGGAGCGACCGGAGCGGGAGCTGCCATCTCCGTTGTCGTGGCGTCTACGGTGGGATGAGGGGGGCTGTTGGCCCTCGGGGCCTCTACGCTCCAGGTCTGCCTCAGCCGCCTCTCTCAACTCCTGGCCGTGTGGCGCCTCCTGGTGGCTCATGATTGGAAGAGGGGAAGGTCTACACACAGAGCATTACTTCTCCCAGCAGGGCTCCACTCAAGCACGGCCTGCAGAAAAATGAACAAAAAACAGATATAAATCTTAAAACAGCAACAACTTAGTAAGAAAGATCATTGAAGAAGTGCACACAGTAGTTTTCCCTTAGGTACATATAAAGAAATTAATAATACTGTTGTATTTTTTTTTTTTCATTTAAAAAGAAAAAGCATAAAAAATATGAAATGATGACTAAATAAATATGTTAAAAACAAATTAAGGTACTTGTTAAACAAATTAAAAGTGTAATTTTGGCTGAATAATCTGTCTGTATGAAGGTGTACAGAAGGCTCCAGTCATATCAGATGCCAAATACAAAATGCCACTAAAGTATCAGTATGCTTGGCGTACATGCCTGGGCTTACATTCTATAATGTTTTCCAATAAGAATTAAGACCAATTCACCTCCAATCAAATTTCTGAACAATTACCAGGGGGGAAAATCCATCATTAGCCTTGTTGTAGCTGATGTTTTATTCATAGTGACATTTACTATACTGCCACATATCGAGATCAGCTCCCTCTGTATTTGATGTACAAAGATTATGATGGTTATATAATATTCACACATGCTTCAACCAGTAAAGGCCTAAATTTAGTAAAAATCTATGAAACTGAAGCAATTATGTATAGCAGTTGAAGCATCTCTGTCTGCGTTTACTGAGAGCTTTATCACCACGCAATAGCTAAATGCAAAGAGCAGTAGAAACCCCCCAAGCCTCCACTTTCGTACCTCTTATAACTCTCATCAACATCAGCTGAGTCGGGATGTACAACAAAACAAGCTGAATAACATAACACAATCATTTTAATGAGAGAACTTGCATTCAAACCCCTGTCAAGCTATCTGACCAGTCATGTTTACACATTAACCTCTTCACTTTTTTCAATGTCGGAATGAGCTCCTGAGGGCATTCTTGTGCATTTGGTACAAGTGAAAGACAGCACTATTAGACTCGACTACATGTGACCTACTTCTGCAGTTGATGCCAGGAAAGTGGGTGATGCACTGCCATGAACAAAAGAAGAGTTCTCAAAATAGGGATGGGCCAGGATGGTCGACTAGTCGTCCAACAACTGAAAAATATGTATTTTAATGTGCATCAGAGATGTATCTCTCGCCTGCATGTGCGGTGCAAGAAATTATTAAGAAATCTCACCATTTTGAATTTAAAACATGCTATCATTTATCGTGAATCGTGTAATTCATAACTGAATGTGACGAGACAAGAGACTTTTGCGTTTTTGACATATTACATATGCGAATAAGGGGGAATGTGTGCATATTTTAAAATATTATTTGCAAATAGTCTAAAATGATTAGGCTACTTAATAACTGCAAACAACATATTTTAACATTCTTATTTCTTTATTCCCTTGACCCCCTTTTAATCCTTTAATTATTTAATCCTTTTAAAAATAACAACAACCATGTTAGGTGTGCCCTCCCCCCAAGCACAAGAGTGAAACTCCACCTATGTTTTTGTCCAAATGTCTTCATTAAATACCAAACTTTTGACATTTTTGGAGCATCATGATGGGTGACATTTTGCAGCAGACTTCCATCTGGAAAGAGACAAGGCTGAAAAGAAGCTGTGATCTTATATTATACTACAGGGCTGTTGAATGCTTGATTCTGATTGGTTGAGAACGTTCTAAGGTGTGCAATTATTTTCAGGGAAACGCACGGCTAAAGTAGTTCCAGGCAGGTTTAACCGCATTACAGCTCCATATCACTGCGCGTAGTTAACTGTAATAACGGAAAATAGGATACAATTCATAACAAGAAAAAAACATGCAGCCCCATGCGCTTGATCTGCAATTTTCGATGTCTAACTTCAAAATCAATGGACACATACAGTTTAATTTTAATAAATAAAGTATGTAGTCCTATCTATAGGCTAAATAGAAAATTTAATTGAATAGGCTAGGCTATATAAATAAATTGATAGTCCTGCTGGGTTTTCGTAATTATTCCAGATAATATAACAAATAAATAATTAATGATAGGCCTACTTGTTAAAAGGGCTTTGTGTGTTTCATTTATTGGGTTATTTGTCAATTATAGAAAACAAGAATGAACGAATTAATTAAAACAAATTTAATTAATAAATAAATAATAATATTGACGCACATGCTTTTCTGTCTCATTATTGCAACATCTCTCTCTCTCTCTCTTTCTCTCTAATAACGGCATTAATAACTGCATAAAGCCGGGACACACTGACTAAGGACAGACTCCGCTATGACTCCGCTTCGCGTCGTGACCGCATTACCACCTCGGGTGTGCATTATTTTTCTAATAATTCAATGGCCTGTCGTCAATTATTCCTTACTTAATCAACACAACAATTAGCCACACTTTCATTTGTTTCCTGACAGCTTACTTGAATGAACAACAGTGTCTCTAAACCTTAGACCGATGGGGAGAAGAGAGAGTGATAGAAATATGCAGCAGCATACGGCCTACTAAAACATGAGTCACCGCTGCAAACATGACATCTGTTTCCATGCATGACGGTGTACGGCATGTTGTTAGAGATATCATGTCAGAAAGAAGTCATGGTACTCATGTTCCTGTATAAGGTGTGATCAAAAGTGATGGTGCGCATACCGAACCCGTCAGAAAGCAGCAGTAATTGGTGTAGACTTTAGAAGGTGATGGAATGCCAGAGGAAATAAAATGACAGTGAGCCTCCTCCTGACTTCAGTTCAAAACATGTACAAAATCCTGAGGGCAAACCACATTGATGATCTGAGTCAGAGGACCAAAAAAAAAAACCCAAAACATCTGTACATGCAAATGTATTCACAATAGGGTAAGATTTTCATTTGATATATTAATTATTAATATTTATCTGAAAACAAGTCTTATTATCGTACACAATTTTGATTCTCCTATAAATAAATCGTTTTAAATATTTTTTTGTTCTTTTTTTTTTTACTGGAAAATAATAATGTGTGAGACAAATATATATTTAAATGATTTAAATTAATTAAAACATTTATAATATATGAAAGTATTTTTTACAGCAATGTGCTTCTTTACATTGTTTTAAAGATATATAGATTGACTTTGATAAACTGAATTAATTTTAAGTATATTTTCTGAAGTGATTTGCATTGATTTGCTTCTAAAGTAAATGTACTTAACTGGAAAACCGGACATAGAACACAACAGAAAATAACAATCTGCCAATGGTTTGAGAAAAAATTAAGTAAATTTATACTGTTCTAAATAGTTTTTTTTTTTACAGGAAAACCAGACATTAATACTGTTTCAGGAAATGACAATTTGCCAATAAAGTTAGAAAAATAAATGTATAATTTTGATTAATTTAGTTTAAAATATATTTTCTGAAATATACAGTACATACACAATTGTACTTGTCAAATAACTGCATGTTGTTTTGAGGAAGTTAAATTTTTTGTTAAATGAAAATAAGATTATTTTTGGCAGTACGCAGAGGAAGCAGCAGCTCCAGTTGCTGAGGTGAATCCCCCTCCCCAGCCCGATTAAGATGGTATGTTTAAAGACTTCCAACTCCTACCCTCTCTAAGCAACTGAGTCACCCAGAATCCTTCATGGAGACATCCCAATATGAGAAATTCTTGGCATGGGTGAGTCAGGCATATCAATCAACATTGGACTGACAGATCCCAAAGGGATGATTGTTTACCATTATTGATTTTGCACACACAACATCTCAGAGTCACAGGTTAACTCCTTCCTTTGCAGTAGCCCACAGCAGATGGGCTCCATTGAATTGCCAGAGCATCTATAGAACTTTAGTCTGAAACTAAATGCTTGCATTTTGCAACCTTTTTTCCTTCCAGTGCGATCAAATTTTATTAGAGGCTGCACTGGTGCTACAACCAATTTGACTAACTGATAAGCTCTGCCATATCTGTTGCATATGAGAAACATTAAATGCGCCAAAAGCGGAATGAAACAGCGCTACTTGTTTGACCGCGCCGCATAGACCATTTTATCAGCCTGGCCCAAAACACAGCGCAGCGCGAACTAGAGCAAATGCGTTTACGCGTTGACCGATCTCAATCACACAACCACTAAACAGCGCTGTGAGATCCAGTTAAAAGTATTTGAGTTTAGCACGGAGTTCTCTGATACAAACCACAAATGTCTTTGTGATTTAAACTAAAGCCAGATAAAGCTGCGATGACATTCTCAAAAGCACTGATGCGGAAAACAGGAGAAAGACTATGCCAAAATAATCCAGTTAGAAGGCTTTTAAATCCACTAATCACCAACATTTACCATAGATTTACTGTAATAATAACACTATCTGTAACCATGATATTGTGGCAGAAATGTGAGATATATAAATTATATCAAATTTGATTATATTATTAATAATGTAGACAACATGTATTGAGTAATGGAGACCTGCCACCCCGGTTCTACCAAATCAGGTTCCACTACTCTCAAATGTTAGACAGGAGCCATTGATCTATAATGACTGGATTGCTCTTTGCGTTCTAAACTGCCAGGAGTGCCGGCGGAAGTGTTTGAGGGGCCATCTTATGATTCCCTTCAGACAGAGGGCAATATTGACTTGCAGCCAAAACCTTGACCTAAAATCACCTGTCAGTCGCACAATAATCGTTTTTAAGATACAGTATACTGTATGCATGTACATTAATTGATACTTTGAACGTTATCTGTAATGTTTATGGTCTTTTTCGGGCAGGATACGCGTTATATAGAAATTGTTAAGAAGCACACTGTGTCTACATCACACTTCAGACAAAGGTAACTGAACTAACACAAAATAGATTTCTTTATGTAGCCTACGTAATTATGCAGGAAATATTAAGCATGACCATATATCTGGGATTATTCACTTAACCAAAGTTAAAGTGGTTATCTTTACTGCTTCGAAATACATACTGTCATACATATTATATAACACAACATTATTACATAACCACAGTGAATAACTGTATTAAGTTGTAAGCGCATGCCTTACAAAGCTTAAATCTGTATTCA